GCTACTACTTCATCCGGTAGATTCTCTACTTTGGAATGTTGGTGCATAACTTCCAGAAAATCGGCAAAACTCATTTTGCCACCTTTCTTTTTCAAATAGTTAATTAACTCCTGTATGGTTGGAGATAAACCCAGTGATCTCATTATAACAGTTAATTCGTCCAAAGTAGTTATTTGACCCGAACGGGCAAATAAATAAAAGCATTCACGGAATTCTATGGTATAAAAGATATATTCTGTTATTAAACAGACACATATTTTAGCCTGAAATGCTAAAGGTCGTCCAAACGACATTTTCACTTTTCAATAGGTGTATATGTATGTATATAATTTTTCTATGAATAAAGATCTATTTAAATCGGTACAAAAGTAATTTGTTTCAAGAACGAATCCTTTTGAAAGTTATGGTATCGGTACAAGATTTCACGTAGTCTACCTATAACATGATTTTACTCTCAATAAAATTTTGCATAAATCACTTTAAGTACTATCTAAACTATCACTTTAAGTAGTATCTAAAGAAGGCGCCTTTGATTTACTACATACATAGATACATACAAAGATGTACCTATAAATAATTCGAAACGAATATCTTGATGCAACGTATTATTTCAGAAAGTGAATTTTGTTGTTTCAACCTTTTGCATTTTAGGTGACTATATGTAATAGACCTAGAAACCGTTATGATATTAAGTGGAGCAGACATTATAAAGCAAAAAGCTTTCACTTCCGCTTTTATAGAGAAAATGCTTCAAATCCTAAACTTTCATTACTATTTTTAAAATTTACCATCAATATCTTGTTCCTTGAAGTAACGAGCCTGCAAGTAAATAAAAATAAATAAATAATAAATATTATCAGCAATTTTTATCTAAACGTAGGTGATGTGTTTGATAAGTTTGTTATTATACACATTTTCATTATGTTCCTTGTTAAAGAATAAATTTTTTTTTTCAATAAATTTATATGAAATTTTAGAGCTTACCATTATTTATGTTTAATAATTATTAAAAAAAAAACTAAATAAATATTTAAATATGATTAAAAAACTATGAACAAACAAAAAATGAAAAATAAACGAACTGTGACGACACTTGATTGTTGTTGTACAGAGAAACCAGTTTATTCAGTGTGTCACATTGAGTGGTTATTTTTAAGCGACACTTTTCCGAAGCTTATTAAACGCTGAATTTTATCAAAGTTGTGTTAAATGATTCTATAGTTTTTGTCTAGGTCTTCTTTCAATATTTTAAGTATTTATTATATAAAAATAATAGCAAATATATTCTTAACTTTCGTCAAGCTATTAGTGGTTTTAATAACTTATTAAATTAATATAGTTAAATTTTATTCTAGCGCTTTTATGTTTTTTTATTTCAGCTCTGAAATTTTTGTCTCATAGTCTTGCACTAAACATACCTTATTTGAAGTTTAAACTTTTTTATATGTGGACGTGTTTGTTTAGTTTTGTTGTTGCAATCGTGTAGTTTTTTGGTTTTTGACGTGTCAGTGGTTTTTTAACAGACAGATTGTGCCAAAGAAATCCGCTAAAATTTAAAATTTTATTAAAAATATACTCTATCCTAGCCATAGAATTAGTTAAAAGATGTATAACACAATTTTTGTGTTGTTTGTGTTAGGCTTGGCTGCCGTAAATGGCCAAAGAGTTGCTCCCGGTGTACCACCACAGCACTATGTAAGTTGCGAAATCATGAATTAAAATATTTAACACAACACATTAATTGTTATTCATCGTGTCTTTATGATATTAGCAACAACCTCCACAACAATATCAACAGCATCCCCAGCAAGTGCAGTATCAACAACATCCTCAACAGAATCTGCCGCCTGGTGTAAGTCCCCAACAATATGTAAGTTTTTTTATCGTATTGGATATGTCAAAGGATCATTATCGTTTTGTTATGTATTTTTAGCAACAAATGCAACAGCAACAACAGATGCAACAGCAACAACAAATGCAACAACAACAACAAATGCAGTACCAACAAGTACCAGTACAGCAACAGCCACCAGTTCAACAAGTACCAGTTCAACAGGTTCCTGTACAACAAGTACCTGTTCAACAAGTTCCTCAAGGTCACGGTGGCGGCCATCATGCTCCTCACGGTCACCATGGCCAGCAGCAAGTCTTAAATGCTGCTAACATTCAACATGAAAGGGAGTAAGTAGAAATTAAAATATTCCAATATTTTTGTATATAAAATATGCACCCAATTGTCTTATCATGTTATTGATAGATACACTTAGCATTGAGTGTACAGATAAGGGTTCATTAAGTTATGTATTGTAATTATGATTAATTTGGGAAATTGATAATTTTAAGTAAATCGATAGTGTGGAAATTTTTATTATATATTTAGTAATCCTGGAAATACTGCATAAGGACTAAAAGGCCTAAATTTTAAAGTAATTTGACATATTCCAATCAGAATGCTTTTAATAATATTTCTTCCAATTGGAAGATTACACAAGCCAACAAATTTTGAACCTAGAGACCACATCGGGGTTTCCAAATATTTTTCCCGTTTTCAATTTGATTTTTACTATTGTTAGCGTTTTATGACAAACTTATATTCATCATAATTTTCCCATAAAAATTATTCACGCACATTAACTACCTTTATTATGGGAAATATATATTTTTAAATTGTTTATATTTCTACGTAGAGTTCAGATTGTTCTTTACTTAGGAAAATGAAGAGACCAATCAAACTGAATAGCCCTGAGAATCGTTTTTTTAATTTTTATGTGATGGAGAAATTTAAATGCTAGTTTCGGATTCAGCGAATATCAATACTTTCTATATTTTCAAAAGAAGAATGAATAATCGCACTTTATTTTCGCAATTCTGTACATTGAAAATAAATTATCAAACATTAAAAATATAGACATATGCATATCGAACAAAACTATAGAAATAACACTTATGATCCAATACAGATTCCATTTCCGTTCTTTAAATAACATTATAGTGTTTTTTTATTACACCTATCAAAACGAACTAACTTTAAAAGATTTTGAAACATTTTAAAATTCTAGAATTCTATGTTTTTAAGATTAATATAGAGTGTATTTTACTTTTCATACTAAATAAATTATTGTTAAAAACTTCACATAAATCGAGCTCTATTATGTACTTATTGAAAACAATTCGTTTGATTTTTATCTATAAAATATTTTATAACATATTTTCTTTTAAAATAATTTACTTAACTAATATTTTCATTTCAGGCATATCCAAGAGCATATGCAAGTACCTATCGATACCAGCAAAATGTCAGAGGCTGAATTACAATTTCATTATTTTAAAATGCACGACTCCGATAATAACAACAAATTAGATGGTTGCGAACTCATTAAGTCTCTAATCCATTGGCATGGTAAGTAAACAAATATTTTTTACCGTTAAAAAGGCATACCAATTAAGCTTTAAATACTAAAATATTTGTACTTTGTTGTTTGATTTCTTTTATTTTCATATAAACGCAATACTACATTAATTTTGCCATGTTAAAAAATTTTTAAAAAATACATATATTTAATACAATCACATATTACACATGTTTCGTTGTGTGTTTCATAATATGTGCTTATTTAATGTATTCTAATGTCAACAAATGCAAAACATATTTACTTGGTATATGGTCTCATCATCTTGGTATAACGGATATAAAAAAATTATCAATTCATTACAATCATGAATGAACGACCTATAGAACAAGGCAGTAAAGATGCTCATGCTAGTAACGGTCAACAACCAACGGTAGAGGAAAAAATATTTACAGATGAGGAACTGGTAGCTTTAATTGATCCAATCTTACAAATGGACGACACCTCAAAGGATGGTTATATTGATTATCCCGAATTTATGAGGGCCCAACAAAAATCACAACAAAATCAACAGCAACAAGCACAAAAAAGTGGCCATTAGTTTTCCATTCCATAAAATAGTGTGTTCATTTTAGATTACATTCTCTGTTTTCAATCCTTTTTTTTTGTTTACTGTTGTTTAGTCATTTTTTAAGAATCTCTTTTCTTTTTAATTATTGTTAGTTTAATTAAATTTTATTATTGGCATCTCAATATTTGAACAAAATATCTCTGTAACATGTTTTTAAAATTTTCCTTTTTCTCGAATATCTTTTGCAAACTGTTTTTTTTATCTATAAAAATATTGAATGACTGATAATGAAGGAGCTCAGTTTTATAACAAAAAATATAAAATAATATCCATACATCATACTTGCATACAATTGTTTGGACAATTGTATTATAACATAAATAAAATAAAGTTAGATGACATAATTTTTTAAAAGAAATACAAAAGAATGCGCGTGCATACGTTTTTTATTTTTATATTTTCGCAAATTGTTTCGAATTGGTTGTGGTGAGCTTATTTTTTTTATTTTAATTAACATCTTAACGCATTTTGTTTTACATCTTGCAAATCCTTATTGTAGCTGACGAAGAAGGAGGCAATAAAGAAGGAGAAAATAAAGAAAAGGAGGGTACAGGTGAAAAGAACGGCACTACCTATACCGACGATAATTTAGCTGATGTTATTGATTATGTTTTGAATACAATGGACTTGAATAAGGACGGCTATGTTGACTATACCGAATATCGCAAGAGCGAAGAAGCATCTGCCAAAGATGATAAAAAATAGAGCATACTCAGTTAAAATCAAAGTATAATATTTAATGTTTGTACCTTTTTTGTTTTAAACTGCATGTATTTATGTTAAATTTATGTTTTTAAATCATGACTATGTTTATATAATAAATAGTAAACGTTTTTAAATATGTAATAAAAAATATTTTCTATAAAATTGGCTAAAAATATATGACTGTAAAATTGTAATGTTAAACAGTGAAAATTTTAGTTGTCAAACTACATTTATTATTGCCGATGGTTCAATCCAATATTTTTCTAATCCAAAATAAATATTTTACTATATAAAACATAAATTTGTTTGATTTTACTTTATGATGTAAAATAAAAGATATTTTATTTTTATTATAATTTGTTTTTAGTTTATTTATTATTTTTAATAATTATATAATTGAGATATTAGCTATTATTGCTTATAAAAAATTGCATAGAATATCAATTATAACATTTATTTTTGAATTCTTTTACAAATTGATAAACATAAATATTAAAATCTAGCAACTACTTTCAATTAATCAAACATTAAAGCAAATATAAGCCTTGATACATACATATGTATGTAGATAGTTTAAAGATCAGTAAATTGTTTTTATAATATAAACTTTGAAAACGGAAGTATTGGCATGATTTAATAAAAATAGAAGATTTTATTTGTTGTAAATGTAGGCAAACGTTTGTTTTCTTTTTTTGTCGGTGTGATAAGATAATTTTTGTTTGTTTGTAAAGTTTATAATAAAAATTAGTGCAATTCTATTTGTATACGTTTTTTGGACAATACTGTGTGTTTAAGGGGGGTTTCGTGGCAATAGAAACACAATATTGCAAAAGGTGCCAAGTAAATGTTCTTTTGGTAATTTTTATATGAAATGAATTCTAAAAAAATATAAAACTCCTTGCACAACCAAAGGCAATATTGTGTTTTATCAGTTAAATCATTTTCAATATTCGTATAAATATCACTTAAGTTTCTATAATTAACATCAATTTTCATAATTTATTTAGGCGCTTTAAACCATTCATTGTGTTTTCTTAGCTCGTCTGCGTTTGAAGCCAGTCATTTGTTTTAATAATTGTGAATTTTCATCATCCATATCGATATTTGGCTCCCAAAGTCGTAAACGTTTTGGTATGTAAATTAAACCAAGTAATGTTATTGCTATATACAAAGAAAAGCGTTAGTAATAATGCTAAATAAGTGTATAATTAGACTAATATAACTTACAATTCAATACACAGGGAAAGATGACATAGAAATTCAATGTACTTGAACGGAAATACAAAGCTTCAGTCAAATATAAAATCATAGTCAAAGCTAAAGAACAGCCACCCATGCTGACCACTCTGAAAGGTGTTTTAAAAATTATTATTTAAATGTTTAGACATACAAATTTTTCAAAATTTATACATACGGCCGATAATGTATGTACAGAGTACAATGAACCAATGCTAATGCTTTTAGCAGACAGTACATGCCAATTATGCGAGATACAGTATAATCACCTACAATAAAATAAAATATGTCAATTAGTTTCAAAATGTTATGACAATTAAATAGATTTTTCGTGAAAATTGAGTCAAAGGTCAAAAATTTAATTTTATTACTTTAAGTCTTAATATATATTTTTTAAAAAGCCAGGCTGACAAATTAAACCGTAATTAATAAAGATAAAGCACAAATTTTTAATAAATTTGTTATTTTACAATGGAAAAATTTTATATGGAGTTCTTTAAAAATAATAATATGTATCATAAAAAACTTAATTAGCTCTTAAAAGGCTCCTATAAAATGAAAATAACCTTTTTTTTATTAAAAATATCGATTGTGTTTTCTGTATCAAAAAAAATTTTCAAACTAATTTTCACTTATTACCTTCTATAAATTGTGTATCTGCATGATCTAGAAATGATCGACGCTCTATGTAACTTCGAAAAGCAGTTCCCAAATCCATGAAAGCCACAAATGCTATCCAGCCCCGAAAGGCATATAAGAGTTTACGTTCCATATTCGTGTGATAAGGCGTTTTGGCGGCTTTATCTAATACGTTTGCTCAAAAAAGGTTGCTAATCGCTCGATGCTTCAATGTTGTTACTTTTTATTGTCCTTAAGACTCTTTTATTACCTTTACTATTAAAGTAAACAGTTGTATGATAGATAAGTTCTTTGACTTTAAATTGAATTACTGCCACCTGAAGTATTATTGATGTTTGTAGGTTTGCGTTGTCTTGCGGGTGAGTGAATCTTATTAACACGTAACTTTTCCCTCGATTTTTCTTTTTGTTATAAATGGTTGCTGTGCAACTTCCTGTTTCCGTTTATTGTAATAATTTGTGTTTTGTGTTCTGCTTTTCTATTACACTTTAGCAAAATCAATACTTTTTAGTTATTTATTGAACTTTTCAAACACGCGATTTAATATACATATTGTATTTTTTATTGAAACAGAATATAATTGAAGTTTGTAAATAGGTTTATTTAAAGGAATTTTTATTGCATATATTAATTTGTTTGTATTAGTTTTTCTTATTGCTTTCTGTGTTAATTATTATTAATGTTTAATATGTAAATTTTAGCTAATTGGCTTATACTATTTTTGGCTTCGTTTTCTTTAACTTGTGATTGTCTTGATTTTTTCTTTTTCTTATATTTTAATATACTTTAATACATCTTCTATTTAAAATTTATATTTTTTCTCCGTATTCTATCTAGCTCCTCTGTTTATCTTTAATAAATGCTAAATATTTTCTCTTCTGAGGGTATTAATAAATGAATACATTCTTACTCACCATGCTGCATGAATTCTCCCACAAATATCTATCTTTATGCATAGGTATATTTGTTTTTCTATAACAATTTGACCGGTACTTATTTGGTCCTGCGCATTGCAAACCTAAATCATATCGGGACTCTATATTCAAAAAGTGACAACTAAAAAATGGAAATTGTTAAAAATTTCGAAAGTGAAATGCTGTACAGATTCAGAGATGATGCTAATAGACCTTAATTATCGATTTCTATAAAAAAAAAACTAAAATCGAAAATCATGCCGCTTACGTCCATTTTGCAAAAAAGGGCTCGATATCAATCGGGGCAGGGCCATAATTGACCCTGCCCCCTTCAATAATTGATTTTAACGTAATACAATAATAAAACAATTTTTGTTGGAACGAAAATATATCTACCAAATTTTATGACGATCGAAGCATAATTCACTCTAAACCCATATGAAATCTTCTTCAGAAAATGACTTAAACGCACATAAATGGCTTTCAAATGTCGATATCGACGAAAAAAACATTTTTAGGAACCGAAACCTAAATTTATGAAAAATAAAATTATGAGGATCGGTCCGCCAATATAACCCGCTTACAGAAAATCAGTTTATAGGTAATACATCATTCCAAAAGTAATCATTATGATAGAATTATGGTAGAATTAAATAAAATACTTTAAATTGTAGAGAACTTGGTCCATAATTGACCCAATTCCACATTTAAGACCCTAATCCGAAAAATTGATGTTGTTCTGGAAGAACTTTAACATCCATGTAAACATTTTGGGTAATAAATTGGGGGACTACCAATGAGGGGAGCGAGCCTCCCATATGAATTAAATACAAAAATTCGTTTATCTGGGAAACTAACAGAACTAAATTCTTCAAATTTTGTGGACTTTCATCTGGGGGGCTTGGAGCTCCCATATGAATTAAATAGAAAAATTCGTATATCTGAGAAACTATTAGAGCTAGAATCTTCAAATTTTACTGAAGAACATTTAGAGAATAACGGGCGGACTTTCAATGGGGGGCTTGGCACTTCCCATATGAATTAAATACAAAATTTCGTATATCTGGGAAACTATTAGATTATTCAAATTTTTCATAGATTAAATTAAAATCTTAATTAACGTTCGTAATAATTGGCGAAATTGCAATAATTTGCGTGGAATCTCCCATATGTAACAAATTGTATATCTGGAAAACCATTGTAGTTAGAATCATCAAAATCGTTAAGTGGTTTTCTTATTTATATTGCTTTTAGGGTAGCAAAGCACACTGGGTATAGCTAGTAAATAAATAAATAAAATATCTTTGTTTTTACGTTCTTGATCATTTTCTTAATGCAAAATTTTTTAGAAACTGATTTTCTGCAAGATGTTTTATATGGAGGATAGGGTTAAATATCGGCCGATCCTCGTAAAACTTGGAGAAAGGATTTGTTTTTAATTTTTAAGAATTTGTTATTCTTTTTTGAGCTTGCTCTGTTTTGTTGTTATAAACAATATATTTGCTTCCAAAATCCCACTTTCTGATCTCTCGGATTCCATTTTTATTTAAAATCGTTGAAAATTTAAAAACTGCCGGTCCACACTAGGAAACTTTTGATTTTGCGTGAGAGAGAAAGAATATCATTCATCTCTCTCGCGGTACGGAGTTTCTCGTACTCGGAAACTTGTTTTCTTTTGTTATTCTTCTCATTGGTACAACAACAAATCAATGCAATTAAGTTTCTATCTGTGGACATTAAGGAAACTTCAAAAGAGAATTAAGAAAAAGTTTCTCAACAAAAGTTTCCTATGTGGACCAGGTCAAACTAAACGTAGTTGAAAACTTAGCCGGCTTACAGTCGATTTTAAGCCGCCGCCGACATATTTAGTGTCAGTCGCCACCGCCGTTAATATTTGTCGGCGCAGGGCTCTGCACTGAAGCATTTATTTCATCAGTTTGTTTTTTTTTGTGTTTAATTTTGTTTTCCGCGCTTATTTTGTTTATTTAAAACAATATTATATGATTTAAAAATGTACAGAAATCGCAAATTTAACAAAAATGGAAGAACTAAAAGTACTGACAGCAATGAAAACAAAAGAGGTCTTAATACCATTGATGAAAATACCACAATTAAAATTCCAGTAAGTATTAGACTAGGTAAAACATTTATTCGAAATTAAAGCTATTTTTTTCTATTTTAAGCGTTTAAATGACGAAACAAATAAATTTAAAGATGTAGCGGAAATAGAAGAAATGTTAAGTAGTGAAGAAAACATTCCAGCTTCACAGGAGCCCACACAAAGATACTTGTCACAGAGAAGCACAATTGCCGCAACACTGGGGCGTACACAATCTCGAATTAACAGCTCCCAAAGACCACCCAACACATACTTTGAGTTAGCTCTAATGAAGGCGGGCGTACAATTAGATGAAGGACAGAATTTTGTATTATGTTAGTATTAAAGCTGCACAAGAAAATACGAATTGGAGTCTTTAATTGAATTATATTTTAGCTTGTGACCATGTCTCATTCGTTAATAAGCTGCGCATATTATTGGACAAAAATCAAAATTTCCAAGACAATTTAAAGACGTTTATCACCGGGTTACGTGATGCTTGGTCAAAATATGCCATAAAATTGCTTTCGGGATGTACAATTAGCATTCCCGGCGATGAAAGTGTTTATCAATCTCAAGATAGCATGATTGTAAACTTTTTTATGATAGATTTTTTACGCGATAAGGTGCTGGAATTACTTTTGGTGCAAATAAAAAATGCTGCCTGTAACAAGGTTTCCTCATCAAAAACCACAGGAAATAATATACCCTTATTGCCTCTGATGCTGTCCCAATTACAATATGTTGCCAATACTCATGGTGATATTATTTACGAAAATATTAAAACTAATTTTGAAAATGCATTAGAACAATCGAAATGGGATATAATAGCTAGTGCCGAATTAATATTGGATTCTAGCAAACATGATGATTTTGCAAAGTTGTTATTGTAAGTTTGTAGTGATTGTCATTGACAAATTGCATTAATTTTAATTAATTTCTTTACTTTACATTATTAGAGATAATATGGCGAATAGCAAGGAACTTTTTAAAAATTTAACCATACAAACACTTACAAATTTAAGTTTGAGTTCGCAGATGCAGGGTAAACTTCGCAGTAAGGTTTTGGCTTACATCAAGGAAGATCAATGTCCCAAAGCGGTGAGTTTAAATAAAAATTAAATTGAAGATCAAACGCTAATTAGTAACCAGACTAGTAAACCTTTGTATCAAATATATTAATTGTGCATAAATATATTTTTCTTTTCATCGTAGACACTACCACTGCTAATAAAATTTCTGCTAAAGATTTTGTCCGAGGAAAATGAGGAAAGCATGAAAGAGGTAAACAATATTTATGAATGTGAAATATTTTATATTAATTTGTTATATTCTTACATAGTTAGTTAACACATTACGTGAAATTCTACATTGGCGTGAAGATACTTCTACCAGTTCATTGGCCAAAGATAAACAATTACAATTGGAACTATTTGGCTATATAGAGCAAGGTCTTACACGTTCCAAAAAGTTCTATTCAATATGGCAAAAATCAATAGCAACATTATCTTCAACACAATTTAAGTATAGTATTAATTAATTTAAAAATTAATGTAATATTAACAATATCATCATTCGAATAGGCCTATAGACTTCGTTATTGTTTTGCTGCTTATAAACATAAGGGACGATAATTCTTTATATTTGGAAAACGTGGTAAGTTTTACTAGGAACATTTTTAAATATTTTAATACTACTTCAAACTTAATGTGCATGACTAGCTACGGCGTCATATCAAACAATTGTCTACATCAATTGTTCAAGAAATTCGTAACAAATATTCACCGATGTTGGAACAGCACTGGCATATACTAATGCAAATAATTAATTTATATTTGCGTGACAAACATAAAACTGTGGTTGATTTTGCTAGATCATGTTGTGGGTAGGTATATTTTATGTATGTTTTACAAAAATGTCCAAAATCTTTTCTATTTTAAAATTTCTAGAACATTTTTCGAAATTTCGGAATCCGTACAAAAATCTATTCTAAAGAAATTATTGGAATTAACATGTGAGAAATCCAATCAGAACACTACTAATTTTGCTTTACAAATGCTACGAGATTTATGGCAATTATATCCTAAAATTTTACATAATTGGGGCATGTTGTTATTGGTAAGTGTCTAATTATTTACTTGTTGCTGTATTTATAATACGAATATTTCTTATTTTAGCCATTTTTAGATCATATACATGAAATGTCATTATCGCAAACACGTATTGTTATGGAATTATTATCATCAATAGCATATCCAGCACCTACTATAGATGAATGTATAACTTTGCAGGATCAAATTGATATGTTGGTTAAGAAACAAATAATCAATAGAAATATTTTGTAAGTATTTAAGTAAATTAATTATTTAAAAATATGTATACACAAATTTATTCAGTATTTAAAGACTTATGTAAGTATTAAAAACTTAACTATTTTGATATTTTTAGTGTAAAAAAACAAGGCATCATTGGCGCCGTACAACTCATAGATTGTATAGCTCGAATCGAACAATATCAAATTGAAGCAGACGATTTCGATACAACATATAGTACCATTAGCGATATACCCGATGGTAGGGGTAAAACAGCAGCTAAATATATAGGCAAGTAAAAATGATAATATTTTTCTTTACATTTCATATTACATTTCTCAAACCAATTTACGTCTATTCATAAAATGAGTCTCAATTTATTTGCATCAGCAAATATTACAAACTAACAAAGCAATTTAAATTAAAACTTGTAAAACGAATCGATTTGAAATCGGCGAAAACTATTTTTTTTAACCAGTAGTTTTTTTAAGATAGATACAAATCGGTTTAGTATCTTTTAGTATCTTTTTTTGGATAGTGTGCGGATCCAATAAATATCCGATTAAGCTTAGAATTCTTTTCGAAAATTCACCTATTATTATCTTTTATATATGTATATGATATTTAAATAATATACAAACATACTTTCATTTTTTATTCATAGAACGCATACAATCATCTACAGTACATTCTCCAGATTTATTAGCTTTATTTTATGATGAACTAGCAATTGTTTGTTCTGCTGGCGGATCAGATCGTGTTAATGGTTTACAATTGGATATACCTTTTGTTATATGGCTATGTGAATTAATAACTTTTTATTTTCAAAGTAATTTTGTCGCCGAACACGTTCCAGACAAAATAGAGTAAGTAAAGTACTAATTGTTTTTTATTTAATATCGTTGAAGAATAATATGTTTCTAATTATATATTTAGTGGCATACCGTTATCTTATATGAAATGCATAAATTCTCTATCGGATACAAATACCGAAGAACAACAAAGTGAATTACCACAAATTGCCATAAATATTGGTGAATTAGTTTTAAGGCCACAAAATGAGTATGTATTCTTTGTAGATATTAAATACTAGTTTAGACTACTAAGACTTTCATTTTAGAGCTAGTTCTTCGATTCTTATTCTATCGCCGCTGTTTAATTTTGTACGTGCCCTACATATGCTACGTTTTGAGGGCAGTTTGGAGTCCATAAACGCTTTGCTAGGCTGCGCTATCATTTTACCAAAGTTCTTCGATGATGATAATGTTGACGCAATATTTTTTGATTATAACGAAGAAATGCAAAAGAAAATACTCGATATATATTTTCATTGTGTAAATTGGATACGAGAAACCATTAGTTCATTTGCAACACAAGTTGAGCCTATATTAAGACAAAAAGTATTGCAACGCTTAGTGGATCTTATAAGTATTGAGGATAAAATAAGACAGTTACTGCTTAAGGCTCCTTCAGATTATACACCACCACAGTGTGAATTTATTACTGGACAAAACTCCTCAACAACTAATAGTGTAAAAACTGGTATAAAATCACGTGCTGTTGCTAATGCAGCTGTAAGTAATAAAAATTCAAATAAAACTAAAGCTTTGCAAAATGATACAGAAATTTTGCATTTAAATGAAACTAATTTAAATGACACGACAAGAGCTGGCGATCTTACAACAAAGTTGGCAGGAGCCAACAAAGTTAAATATTGTACCAAAAACAATTATGAAAATATTTACGGTCCTAAAGAAATTTACAGGTTTGTTTCCATAACATTATGTTTTTTTTTAATTTAATTTAACTTTTTTTAGACAAATGGACACTAATATTGTGTTAATTTTGAAAGAAAAACTAGATATAAAACATCCTTTACCTTCAGAGTACATTGGTTATCGTATGGGCTTACTAGAGTTTCGTTTTATATTAACGGACATTGTAAGCAAATTAGAATCTGTTGTGGGCATACAAAAATTTCAAACTGAACAATCATTGCAATATATTGCTAAACCGGGTCATTTTATGTGTGATTTGTCTAATTTCATAGGTGCTATTGGAGAGAACATGAAAGTTGTAAGTTGTAAAGAAAAGTGATACATATAATTTGAAGAAAAAAAAAATGATAAAGTACCGTCCATTTGTACGAATTTTCTACAATTCTACTGTTTCTATATTTTCATAGATATCTACAGCTATAAATACGAAACTTGAGGAAGTTCAAAGAATTTATAGTCATTCTGATTTGTTTACTGAGGAGTTTAATTTATTAAAAGTATGTTTCGGCTTGTGTCTTCGTTTATTGGTAGCGTTTTACTCCTGGTCTGAATGGTTTATTAGTGAACATCGTATTAATAAATTAAGAGGTACATACATATTGTATTTTCTCTATTTTAAATATTAGACATTTTAAATGAAAAATGTTGTATTTATTTCTTAATTAGAATCACTTTTAATTTTAATGGAACGCTCACAATATCAGCGTTTTAAAGACAAGCCAGCACCTGTATTAGCTGTTGAGGTTTTCGAGATCTTAATAAAATATGAAACATCCATTGTGGATCTAAAATCAGCAGTTTACTTATATCAGTTAATGGTTATATTAAATTTACTTTCCGATAAAAACTCTAAAACGAAACAATCGCAAGAAATAAGTAAGTATTAAAAAATATACATCTGTACCTTAACTATCTAAAATATTATATGCATTCTTCTAATAGGATCCTTGTGTCGCATACTATTGTGTCGTAAATGGTTTAATTATGATGGTTTATTAGAGAAAGGAGCCCAGTGTAATATTTATTTAGATGAGTTAATAAAAGGTTTTCTACGTGATTCTGATTTTAAAAGACAACGTGAAATACTACGTATTGTACGAGAAGAATCCAAAGCACTAAGTGGCAAAGATAGTTCTTTGAAATCATTTCCCAATTTTAAAAAGTTTGTGTATTTTTCTTATAGTTATTATTTGTTTTGCTGGACATTTATCTTATACATTTCAGAGCAAATTTTCCATTATTTTTCCGTGGTTTATGTGAGATTCTTATAACATCTTTAAATCAAAAGTTGACCACAAGTTCCCAAGAAACAATCGACAAACTAGAATTTTGGGAATCAAGTTGCAAAATTTTAAATATGTTATTGGAAGTTGTGCAGGGTTTGGATATACCAAGAAATTTTCAAATTTTCCTTAAGGTAACCTTGAACTTTTTTATCAGTCCTGCTTTAGAATTCTATTCCGAACGAAAGTGAAATGATTTCTGTAGTTTTCTTCTTCAGAATAAAATAACATTCAATTTTTAAAGTGGAATACGATTGTAATTATTTTTGTAATTTTCGATCGGAATGAAAGCCTGTGACAGGTCTTATAAATAATGTTTATCATTAAAATATTCTCGAATTTCTTTTAATACTTGCAGCATTCACATTTATATTTGAAACTTGTATTACAACATGGTTTAAATGTTTTCGAACATTATTTAAGACAAAATCCAGAACGTGTTTGTGAATTAATAAAAACTATGCAAACTACTACAAGATTTTTACATCACCTCTGCTGCCATTCTAAGGTATATTATAAATATATTCCTAACTTTTTTAAAATTTCTTAAAATATTGCATTCTTCTTTGCTTTCGTAAAGTGATTCAATGATTTGTTATAATATCAAACCAATGATGTGAAAATTATATTTAATTTTGCTAATTTAATTCCAAAACTATTTTCTTACATTTTTATCGTTTTGTAGGCCATTAAAAATACTGCCATTGTTAGTCAAATTCCATTTCTACGCGAAACAGTGGAGAACTATGTATTTCGTATTAAAGCCCTACTCACAGCCAATAAATGTGCTTCTGTCTTTTCCATGGGTAATTTGAAAAATAAAGATTTACATGGTGACGATTTAGTATCGCAAGTGAGTTCTTTTTTTTTAATTTTACTCAATATTTGTTTTACAATTAACGGCAAATTATATTTATGTATATGTAATTATTTCTTATAGTCCGGCACCTTTAGTACAGCAACTGGGCAAGATAGTGACGAGGAAATACCGGATGATGATGTTAGTGTGGATGAAACTGTTATGAGCCATGATGATACGGAAAATACGCGAAACGAGACGGAAAATCGTAGCAAGTCGTCATCCAGAAGTAAATGTTTTTAAATAAAACGAAAATTTATTTGAAACTTTTTTTATATAAACTATATGCTTAAATATGCTAAAATTATAAGTGTTTAATTTTTAATAAATACTGAAAAATATAACTAAATTCTATTGTTTAATGTAATACTTTGACTTTAGTAACATTAAAAAAACATAAGAGTTTCCTAAGTACATATATAAATTCTGGGTTAAAATTTAATTGTAATTGTTCATTAAGCTAGCTTGGTAGTGGGCGAAAGAAACATCTTCTACAGGTTCGACTAATTTAAATATCTCTTCTAATTTTAGGGCTATAGGGTTAAGAGCAAAATTAAAAACAAAAATCCACATACTATAAGTTTTGTTATTCTATAACATGACCAAAATTTTAAAGCAATTGTCCATTATACAATAGAATATATAAATTTTTAACGGTCGTGCTAATGGTCGGTTCAAAAGTTTTGCAAGATTTTGGATTTTTTCTACTCTCCTATATTAAAAAGTTTTCATTAAATTATCTCGTACAGTTTAAAGAAATTTTAATTACATATTAAATTGTATTACATTGTTAAATGTAAATTGATTGCTGTTTTTCAACTTTTACAATTTTCACACCTTTAGAACTGCTATTGAACGGTTTTTATCAAATGTTAGCAAACAGTGGCTATTATACCATAATATATTATGCTTTGTTGTTTCCCAAATTTATAAAAACACAAAATTTAGTTTTTATGTCATGTTTTCGTGAACATGCTCTTTATATTTTTATTTGTAAATTATTTCTTTTAAATCGCAAGATTTTTTTTTGTAATATTTTTATGTTTTTTCTTTGCGATTATACAAATACATATATTATTTTAATGAATACATACATATAATAATAATTAAAAACATATAATTGTTGTTGTAAATTAGACTAACATCTTTTACTTAAGTCAACATACATATTTATATTTTTGTTGGTTTTTAATTTGTTGTTTTTTTTTAAACTTTTTAAGTAGTGTAGTATAAAAATGTATTTGCAAAACCCATCCAAAATAAAATGGTTAATATATGTATAAAATAAAGATAAATGTTTACATGTATGTAATAACATTTTATAAATGAAAAACAAATTTTTTAAATATAAACAAATTATTGATAATGTTTTGTTTAAACGCATAATAAAGAGAAATAATAGTTTTCTAAATTTATAACATATTGGTTATTTATAATGTATATGTATATGTAAATATGTGTTATATAATTTTTAATATTAAAATAAAATGTTTGATTACTTGCTAACAATTAATAACTAACAACAACTTATAATTATTTTGTAATGGCATCTCCTTATAAAATGATGATTACTTTGTTTAAGGTACGTGTGAGTGTAACAGCAATAAATCTCATCAGCGCCAAGGGATTTTTAATCATTATTCGGCTACATAGATTTAGTGGATGTATTTATTTATTTATTTAGATATTATGTGATGAAATTTCACTGACCAAAAACTTTAAAATGTAATGCAGCCTTCAGTTTCTTCTCCATTTTCCTTAGATTCATCAATTGATTTTCTAATTCCTTGTTTTTAAGTGTAAGTTCTATTTCTTCTCTCTCCAAAGCATTATCACGTTCCTTGTGCTTCAAACGGGATTTGCGACTGGCTTCGTTATTTTTCGCACGCTCTAGCACTTTTTTCTGTTCACTTTCACTTAAGTGTTGAATTTGTGAACGATCTGGTATGTCACTGTGTGTTTTAGCAGGACGACCACGGCCTCTTTTGGTGGTAAATGAGGCATTTGATATGGTAGCTATGGACGAGGCGGGAGAACTTGGTGCTGTATTTACGAAACTAGTTTGATTTGAGATGGAATTAAAACTGAAAGGTGTATTTGGAGGTGTAAAGTCATTTGTAATCTCATCTACAATTATTTCCGATTTGACTGAGTCACATTTTGGAGAGGTTGATATTAGATCGTTATAAATAGTAATAATGGAATCCACTGCTGTTTGGCCCATGGTATCGTCGTTGAACTAAAAGAAAAATAAAACAGTTAAAAGATTAGACAAGTTTTAGAAAAAGTTACTTAAGTACATATTGTTTAATTATTTTGTTTTAAATGTAATTAAAAAAAACACTAAAAATTCACAACTGCAATCTTAATTCATTGAATTTTATAAATAAAACATAGTTTAAAATATAATTATAGTTAAATAATATAGACAATACAAATAAATTCCCAATTTGTTCAAAGAAATTGAGTGTTTTGAAAAGATATTTGATTTTAAGTTAATCATCCTTCTTTCCTGGGCATATGTATGTATAAACATTAACTACAGTAAATTATTATTACCTGATCAATAATATCTATAACTTTTGGTGTGGTTATTTCAGTTTGTTGTGACAAAATATTTTCCCTGCATGCTGTAGTATCCAAACGTAGTTTACGACGCTTTTCCAACATATGTTGGCTGGTCTGTGAGCTGTTGCGTTTTAAGGGATTTACTAAAAGTGTTTCCTTAAAACCAGTCATGTTGTTCTCGTCATTGTATTCTGATGGAAATATCATATTTATATCTTCTTCAAATACGCCACACATTTCGTCATATGATGGTGTTGGAGTCGAATTTATGTATGGTTCAGCTTTAGCTATTTCTTTAATCAGATTTTGTGACGATTGAGACTGAGAATTACATGATGTTAACATTACTTCGTTTGGTTGGGAACTATTGAAAATATCTTCGGAGGAGAGACCGTAGTTAATGTTTAAATCGACAGCATGCTCATGTGTATCAAGTGTTGAACTGAAATCGAAGTCATCTAATTCCAAATCGTCGATTGCATGAGGTGCAACGGCAAATATTTCATCATTGATGTTATTGCTTCCAGCCATTTCGTTAATGTTGTTGATGTTATTATTATTAGTGGTGGTGGTGGTGGTATTATTGTTGCTAGTATTATTAATGTTGTTGTTGTTGTTATTGTTATTATTGAACAATATATCTTCCAACATCATTTGTAATTCAAATTGATGCTGTTTAAATTTGTTATCCTCATCAACTTCAGTCAACGATTGTTGGTGTTGTTGAGGATATTGTAGTGGTTGTTGTAGATGCTGTTGGTTTACTTGCACTTCCAACGCTGTTTCCTTGTCCTTGCTGTTATTTTCCGTCAACAGATTTATATCAAATTCAAAATTTTCTAACGTATCCAAAAAGTTATTCACTTCGTTTCCTTTTTCGTTGCTGTGGTTGTTGTTACTAATGTTGCTGCTGTTGTTCTTGTTGGTGTTATTGTTAAAAATATTATCTGTAGTAACAGGTAAAGTTGATGCGGCGGTAACTTCTTGTAAGTATTCTATAGTTGTAGATTATTTTTTGTAAAAAAAAAACAAAATAAATTAGTAAAATTTCTAAATTCAATTAACCTACAAATTATTAGTGCCTAAATATTGATTCAGTCTTCTAAATAAACAAATTGTATGTCGAAAAAGTCCAAGTAGTGCAATGACAATAAATATGCGATCGTTAAATAGACTTTTTTAAATTAAGAATTAAAAAATCATATTATGTGTAAACTCTTTCAAATACTGTTAAAATAACTCTTCCTAATTTGTTCCTCTGTTCTCAACTCTGTTAAGCCAAAAGTATTAAATGAAGCATACTTTCGTGCGGGGGGTATGTGAAAATGAGACAACTATTGTTATCAATATCAAAGAAAGACAAAAAATATTTTGCAAAAATCAAAACAAAATAAAAAAAATTGTTGTGAAATTCAAATAAAAACACATTTTATTTGAAATGCTTTCTTATTTACTGTAATAAATAATTTTTATTCAATTTTTATACAGGTCGAAATATTAAGAATAAAATGGAAAAATTGTTTTTCTGTAAACATAAAATGAAAAACAAAAATGTCACGTGAAGACTTGTATTATATCATTAATAAAATAAAAGGGTTAAGAATATTAAAGTGCAATAAATTTCTATAAAAATTATTACAAAATAATTAAAATTCTTTTGGAAGATTGCTTTAAAATTATTTAATAAAATAAGAAAATTATAAATAATAACAAAAATCTACTTTTGTTTTTGAACCAACTTTATCTGGCAAACTGCAAAAGTGAAATATACTCAATTGAAAATAAAAGCCGACAAAACCATGCATGATTCATGTTTATGTCTTTTTTTTTTTTTATTTTGCAAACACTCACAAAAACAAATCAAGAAAAATATAATGAGAAAGAGAGTACAAGAGAGTGTTTTTTTTTTTTGTATTTCCTAGAATTGTAGTTCAGCTGTTTTGTATCTACAAGATATACACGAACACATACAATACAACATGTGTATAAATTATTGTGTGTTTTTATTTCTGTTGTGCATGCACAGGCATGATTCTGTTTGTTTGAAACATTTAACAAGAAATTCAACCAACAGCTGATGAAAATATTAAGTATACGTTTAAAAGGGGTTTAGTATTGGATTTAAGTTTTATGCACAATATACAATTAAATAATTTATATAAAATATGTAGTTGAATTTTTTTTAATATAGTTTTTAAATTGTTAGTATAAAAAAAGTCTTATAACTATTTGGGCAAATATTTATTTTTTCATGCATTTCCCTATGAATTTTGGGAACAGTTAAAATTCTAAAACAAAATTTGTCTGTTAAAACTTCGATAAATTTCAAATTCATTACGGCATCAATAATTAAATGGAAAGTTAATTTTCTTTATGTTACAAAAAAAAAAAAAATAGTTTTTAAATCATGTAATTTTTAATCAATTTGATTGTTTTCATTTTTTAAAACTAAATAATTTTGGTAACAAAAATATTAAACATGTTAAAATTAAAATAGTGAATGTATTACCTTAATCTTTGACCAAGATAAACCTATCGCTGTCACGTTTACTTTGCGACTAAAAACAAATCTATATCACAGTACATTTTTAATAACAGAGAAAACAAAATTAAATATCATCATAGAGGGAGAAAAATATATGGCATTTATTCAACAAATGAGAGAGAAACATTTAGAGAATTTTTTTTTTCAGATTGACGAGCGAGAGCAATGTATTTGCATTGTCTTTGTTTGTGCTTTTTTCATGTTATTTTGCAAACAAATTTACCTCCAAGATCATACAAAAAAAATCCAATTCTTTTTTTTCAAATAAATTTAATAATTTTCTGTTTCTTCTTTTAAAGTGTTGTCGTGCCTATTGATCTCTTTTTAACAGTTCTTTCGCTGCGAAGACACATTAATTATTTAAAGTGTGTAAAAGAGATGAACTAATATTTTGATTAGACGTAACAAGTGTCATTTCCTTTTCCAAACAAAAAAAAATCTATAACAATTAATGTTAATATTTTATTTTGTATTTATTTATGTATGTATGTATTTGTATGTAATACATGTGTAACATGGTGAAATTAATTTTATTTGCACATTTAGGGGGAGGAGGTGGGAATAAAATTGAAAACAGAAAAATAATTATTATAACTCATCTTGTATAATTAACATGCTAAGAACTAAAACAAAGAAAAATGGATACATATTACTAAGTATAAGGGGTTTTTCAACAAAATATCGCTCATATGTTACAAACTATAGTTTCGGGTAAAAGGGCTTTGATAATGTCATTTTACTATTCTTCAAAAACTATTAGAAAAACAAGTACTAAAGTATACATGTAGTCGGACATGGCCGATCCTCAACAAATTGGGAGCAGGGATGTATTTTTGTATAGACATTAGTTATGCTGAATTTCAACGCATAATGATTATAAGTCAATTTTTTTAAAGGGGTCAAACGACGGCCGCTCATTACAAAAATCGGCATTGTCATTTATACCTATGTATATAAAACATAGTTGTGCCAACTAACCTAACGGACCTTTACATATATATAACAAAAATCGTTATCGCTCCTAAAATAATAATTAACATTTATAATTTTTGCGTGTCATTGACCTTTTTCGACATATGCAGCTCAACGTTTTAGTTCTTATAATAGCAAAAATACATAATGAGTTATAATAATTAAGTGTTTTATATTAAATTTCAATACCTTCCCCACTCCTATCAATAATCTGCTAACTGTCCAATTATGTAAATGAAATCCACATTTTCACACCCTTCGTGAGAAGGTAAAGGCACTTTGTTTTTCCTATAAAGTATATGAATCATTATAGATATATGAGAATTTTGCTATTGAAAATCAGTTAATAAATAACAGAAGTATGAGTAAAATGCCGAAAACCACATGATTTTTGCACAATTTTGAATATACATATTTTCGATTTAGATATAGACAATAAGTTATTGGGTTAAAACCAAAACTAGAACATATTACTACGCCGTAGGCAGTAGAGTTCTATCAGTACTTGGAAAATAGTTTTATAATTTTCTCCTATTTGGTCGAACGTCATTTAGCTCTAAATTACAAAAATTCAATATTACGATTTCCACATAATAACACGTCTCACAATCTTTAGAACTTTTGGAGTTATCGTTCACTTTTTCGTAGTTTAACGATTGGAAACCGAATTGCGTATTTTACAAAAAACAGTTTGACAAATTTTCTAGATATTTTCTGAATTATGTTATTCAAATAAAATGTTGAAATCTTTGCTTCAAAATACAAAATGTAATTATTAATTACGTTTTAATGAATTAAATGTAATAATTTGTTCAATAGCATTAAAAAATCTTACAATGAGTCTTCCATATTGTTAACCTTTATGGAATAATTAACATTTTAAATTTAAATTAAATGATCATTTTATGTGGGTAGAGTTTCCTAGAGTTTAATTTTATAAAATAAAAATATTTATCAAAAATTAAAGAAAGTTAATAAAGAGATTTAATCCGTAATTTGTCAAAATTAGCACAACTATTCGGCTTAAAAATATTCATTATTTCATTAGAAATTAAAGAAAATAAATATTTAATCAACTTACAAGATGTTCTAGATAATAATTTTTTTTTTGTCAAAACACTTGCTGATAGTCTTGTAAAATATTTAAACACACGTCAATTAAAAATTATAAACTGCGAAATCACTTTACAACTGAATTTAAGGAAGGTTTATCGAGAAATGTAGGGTTGCATTGATTGAAAAATTTATAAGGCGACAAACAAAAATAAAAGAGAAAGATACATTGATCATTGTTTTAATTTAATATTTGGTTAGTTCTCATGTTAACCAATACCAAAGTATTATTTACTATTCGTATTAACCAACACCATTTTGTTTACATTCGGTTAAATATTTTCTTTATTCGTAAAATAATACAAGTAGGAAAGTATAGTCGGGCATGGCCGACCATATAATACCCTACACCATGAGTATATTTTAAAAATTGTATTTTTCATAAAGAAACTTTTATGTTGAATTTTACCTTAATTCCAAAGTATTTAAGCAATTTATTGATAAAAAAAACTAATTTTCTAAATATAAATATATAATTATATAGGAGTATGGGCCAAACATGGGCCGATACTCATTCAATTTGGGAAAAGGATATATTTTTAAATAACAGTTAGTTATGTTGAGTTTCATTGCGATACAAATGGTTACAAGTCAATTTTAGACGTTTAAGACATTTTTTGAAGGGGGGTTTGTTTGGGGGCTAGGGTCAATAAGGGCCGATCATTACGAAAATCTGCAGTTCATTTATACATATTTGTGCCAATTTTTAGATAGATAATAGTACATTTGACGTAATTATGGCATAAAAAGCCCAAATCGGGAGGTGAAATAATGGACCTATTTCAACCATTTTCAATAGGCTTCGTCCCTGTACCAAAAAACAAGTTTGGTACAAATTTCATCTAAATTATCTTGAAAATTGCGGCCTGTACCTTAAGCACAAGATTTACATGAACAGCCAGCTAGCCGGACAGACGGACGGACGGACTTGTCTTAATCGACTCAAAAAGTGATTGTGAATCGATCGGTATACTTTAAGGTGGGTGTAGGACAGTATAATACCCTCCCCACTATAGTGGTGTAGGATATAAAAAATAATTAAAAAACTCCTTCGCATGACGTATTTGCAAAATAAGAAAAACGATCTATAAATTCTTATACATGTTGACCTACAAAATCATAACGAGGGGTTGTTAAGTGTCTTTTCAAATACAAAAACAAAAATCGGGTAAATCCCCAACTCTCATTAAATTGGGAGTGAAAATTAAGAGACACTTAACTCCCACCTGTATGCTGAAAAGCACAAACATAAAGAAATTATTGAGAAAGAGAGAAAGAAATAAAATTGTGTTTGCAATGAAAATACAAAATAAAAAATACATACATATGAATGTATGTATATTATTTTCATTTGTTTGTGAGTGTTTAACAATTTTTGAGATACTTTTTTATTTTAAACTCTTCTTTTACTATTCCTCTTGTCACCAGATTCGCATTTTGTTATGTTATTGAATTTCACAACTAATTTTAAAGTGACGTAGAATTTTAGTGTTAAATTAAAGAAAATGTGTAATTTTTTTTTTTTATAAATTTTATGCATGTTGCTGCATGTTTCTAATGCTGATTTATTTTTTAACCAATTTTCAAATTTTCTGTGTACCTACTTTTCTTTTATTTTAAGGGTGTTTGCTGGTGCTGACGAATTAAATATTCAAATTAAAGGTATTTTCAAGATCTGTCGGGAAAAGGTTCAATAAATAACAAGTAAAAGTGGTATTATATGTACATATTTATGTACATTAGAGGTGGCCAAAAAATATAGATTTTGTTTGGATGGGTCCTACATTATTTATTCGTGGCTAAAACTTACTTGTGTAAAATCGGACAATGGGAACCTGTGCCGAAATAATTATCTTATTATTTCTGAGTTATAGGCATTTGAAAATTTAATTAATTTTAAACCGAATGGATTTACGTGTTATTTAGAAAACTAAATTACCAAAAATTTCAGAACAATATAATTTATAGACCAGGTTCTAAAATTCTAAAGCTGGGATCAGAAAACGAAACACTTTGACCCAAATTTGATATTTTTGTTTACATCACCAGACATGTAAAAAAAACTATCAAATAATCAAGGAAATGCATGATTTTTTGAATATATAGCTAGGAAAATAGTCAATAACGTTGATGTTTGACCTTTGTGTCTATCGTTGGCTAGACAATTGTCTAAAAGATAAGATTTGGTCGAAAAGATTTCAAAGAAATCAAAAAAGTCCTATTGTTTACACAATTTTACACTCTTAAATCGATTTCTGGTATGGGTTCTCGCTATACAATTTGGCTCAAATTGTACACTACTTAGTTTTAGACAATAATGAATAATATGGGACTAATCTAAGAAAAATTCATATTTTTTTTTGGCACATAGGTAAACCTAATTTTAAAATAAATGAAAGTATGGATTTTATGGAAATTCTGAAATTCAAATTTTTCAATTTGGATTCATGCGTGTTCTAGGATCAAAGACTGATATTTCAAAAAAATTGGGTATTAAAAGCAAGCTTTTAGAATAAACCAGTCTTGGATTAAAAAGGTAATTAAAATAAAACATAATTACAGATTTCTCTTTTGGCCGATTTTTAGGTATATAATTTTGATCTGTGAAATGTAAAACAATATGTTTAATTTTGTTATGAATAAAAAATTACATATGTACATACATATGTATGTCGTAAATTTGATAATGGTATACCCGCATCTGAAATCAATTAAACTTTTTTGAATTTTCTCACATATAATAAATTTCATGCATGGGTTTCCAATATTTGAATTCCGAAAATTTTTCTTAAATTTTGAATGAGAATATACATACATATATCGCTTATTTGCTACAAGACAGACATAATACAAATTTCCGATTTGTGTGATATTAAAGTCTTTCGTTTAGTTTTGTCTATTTTCAAAAATGTCTGTTATTTTCGGTTTATGTTCAGATAAGAAACATCTTAACACCTACTTTTTGATTTATGCCGGTCTCGTACTAAATAAGCAATATGTATATAAGGCCATATGTGAAAAACGATAATTAAAGTTAGCAATAGATTAAATCATTGTTAACTTTAATGGTCGGTTTTGCATTGGACATTAATTTCGAATATACATAATTGAAATAAATTTTAACATTTGATGAATCGAAGCAAAAAAATTACAATGAAAATACTATACTCAACAGAATTCACACAAAAAACCAACAATTGCACAGTGCAAATTGTATGTACTCTACTGCTTTACATCAGTACCTTGGCACCAAACACACACTTCTTACATCGTCTTGATCATCATGTGTTTTAACATCCAACCATTTTTTATGGGCCATCACTTGTTCCATGGTTTTCACTTACGAATGGTTCATTGCACTGTGATTTTTTATGTGATATTTGTTTTATTTTGTGCCTAAAACTTTTGTAAACTCTTTTGAGTCCGGGTCAAAATCAAAATAAAATGCAGTAAAAAAAAAAACAAAAAAACAGTCCACGGTCCATGAATGTGTTTCATGATGAGTTTATGTCGTGTTTATACATTAAAAACACATTTATACACACATAACCATGATAAGGACAACTCTGACGCACTGTCACGCATTGAAAAAGTAAACAAATCAGAACTTTTTCGCAGAGATCGAGTGCGGTTTCGAGCATACCAAACCATGTACATACACAGTACTCACCATCTATGAATACCGGAACATTTATCTCTTCAACTGTAGCAGTAGGCGGCATTGCTCCACTCATATCCGCTTGTGAAAGGGACATATCGGCACCTGTCAACTCTATGCCGGCCATTGATGCCAATGTCAATGGTATTTTCGATTGCGCTTGGGCTTGGGATTGTATTATTTTGTTTTTGTTCTCTGACAAATTCGAACTGTTTTTCACTGTACTTTTCACTAATGTATTCTTGACGCTTTCTTGCTTGGTTTGCAACTGTTTGCTTTCGGTCTCCACTGAAGTGGGAGACAATTGATTGGTATTGACTTGTTGTAATATTATTGGGACCTGAGTCGACTCCACTTGGGTGTGATCGGAATATTGTTGCACTTGACTTTGGTTCTGGTATTGAACTGTCTTCTGTGGGACTATTTTCGAATCTTTCTTTAGCACTTGGTTTGTATTGCTTTTCACTGAAAACGTTTGCACTTGCGACCTTGGTAAAAAGGGTATTCTTATGATTTTTGTTTGAGTCTGGCTTGTCACAGTTGCCGTTGTCTTCTGAGGGTGGTGGTGTTGTGATAAATTCAAATTTCGCTGGTGGTGGGGTTGCACTGTTTGTGTTTCCAACCGAACCAGTTGAGGTTTCGAAGGCCTGGTAAGCAAAAATATTCTTGGTTTCGAATTTTGTTGTGGTATTTGAATTAATGTTCTTTGATTCTTGTTGTTGCTGTTCTGGTTTAGATTCTTCTGACTGTTGTTTGGATTCAACAATTGGTTCTTGCTCGAACTGTTTTCTGTAATACTCATTGAGTTTACCAATGGAATTTCGAATATTTCTGGTTGTTGGGGTTCCTGAATCATCAATATTATGCTTTCTGACTTTTCTGAACTTGTTGTAATCGTTATCGTATGCTGCACCTGTTTCTGTTGTTCCGGTTCTAGTTGCTCTGTTTTCGTTAATTTGGTTGTTGTTGTTGGTTTGGGGCCTTGAGTGGCTTGATTGGATTTCAGTGTTGAATGCCATTTTGATCTTGGCTTTAGGGTTTCAATTGAATTTTTATTCGAAATTCCAACAAAAAGAGTTGTATGTAAAATAACAAACGGACAACAGAAAATTGGGGTGTTTAAAAGAATACAGTACAGTTGAATTATTTATAGATTTATAGCGTCAATATAAATTAGACAAATTATGTGGACAAGTTTTATTTATTACGCATTGTTTTGTTTTTAACAATAAATTGTTTATTTAGGTAATAGAGTTGACATAATGAGTGGAGCAATTGCATTTTGTGGAAGAAAAAATAAATAAAAATACCATATTATTGAAGGTCCTTTAGCAAAAACGATTGTTTTGACATTTAAATAAAAAAATATGTACAATTTCGTGAGAAATGTTTTATGAGTGGATGGATTTAGTAGAAATGCTGGTATTTTTTTGCTTTTTTTTTGGTATTTTTTCTATGGTATGTGTATTTTTATTTGATTTTCTTTTTTCATTTTAGTTTTGTTTTTTTTTTTCTTTTTTTATTATTTTCTTATTTTTTCTTTTTTTATTTTATTTTTTTCTTATTTTTTGTTTTTTTTTATTTTCTTTTTTATTTTTTTTTCTTTTTTTATTTTCTTATTTTTTTTTTTCTTATTTTTTCTTATTTTTTTATTTTTTTGTTTGTTTTATTTTTTTTTTATTTTTTTGTATTTTTTTTTTATTTTATATTTTTTTTCTTTTTTTTCATATTTTACTTCTTTTTTCATTTTTTTGATCGCATTAATTTCAGGGAGTGGATAGTAAGTATTATATGGTGGTCTACCAATTGGTAATTATTATTTTTATTCTATATAAAATATTTGAAAATCTTCAAGTATACTTACTTTTAATACACCGTTGGAAAGAAACAATGAAATTGTAAGGGAACCTCTAAACTTGCTCTTTAAAGAGTCTTAGACGCAACTTCCCTTCAAACTGTAACGAAATAATATAAAAAAATCAATTAATAACAATATTTCCAATTATAATGCATTCTAAATAAAAAAATAATATCCAAAAATAAAAGGTAACCTTGTTTAACATTCTAAAATAGATACTAATTTTTCAATTTAAACTGTGGTTAAACTTTAGTTAACATTGCAACTGACATATTTTAACTATCATTATAATATTGACAATAATGAGACTGAAAACCCCAAATTATATTTTCTATATTTCTTAGAAAATATAAAATGAAATTCCTAGTAAAACTAATAAATTTTTTAATGTACATTATACAATATTGTATTATGTATGTAAGTATTTGTACATGAGTTGTAGAAAATACTTTTGAAAATATAAGTCAATTTACAGTGAATCACACAAGTTATTTTGCAAAGATAACTCAGTTCCATAATGAAGCGATTAATGTTGTTATGCAACTGACAAATATTGAGTATATGTAGTTATGCACATTAACTATGAAAAGCGTGGAAAATTTCCGTGTTTAAATAGTTCTAACTTGTAACAAAAATATTACTTTTTTAATATTTAAAGTACTGCGCTATACTATAGACTAGACAATAGATTAGACTATAGACTAGGCTATAGACTAGATTATAAACTAGATTATAAACTAGGCTATAGACTAGACTATAGACTAGACTATTCTATAGACTAGGCTATAGACTAGGCTATATACTAGGCTATATACTAGACTATAGACTGGACTATAGACTAGACTATAGACTATAGACTAGACTATAGACTAGATTATAGACTAGTCTATAGACTAGACTATAGACTAGACTATAGACTAGACTATAGACTAGACTATAGACTAGACTATAGACTAGACTATAGACTAGACTATAGACTAGACTATAGACTAGACTATAGACTAGACTATAGACTAGTCTATAGACTAGACTATAGACTAGACTATAGACTACACTATAGACTAGACTATAGACTAGTCTATAGACTAGACTAGATTATAGACTAGTCTATAGACTAGACTATAGACTAGACTATAGACTAGTCTATAGACTAGACTAGACTATAGACTAGACTATAGACTAGACTATAGACTAGACTATAGACTAGACTATAGACTAGTCTATACGCTAGACTATAGACTAGACTATAGACTAGTCTATTGACTAGACTGTATACTAGACTATAGACTAGTCTATAGACTAGACTATAGTCTATAGTGTAGCATATAGCCTATTCTATAGCATAGTCTATAGTCTAGCCTAGCCTATAGCGTAGTCTATAGTCTAGTCTATGGTCTAGTCTATAATCTAGCTTATAGAGTAGTTTATAGTCTAGTCTATAGTATAATTTTTAGTCAAGTCTATGACTAGTCTATAGTCTATCCTATAGCCTAGTCTATAGCGTAGTCTATAGTCTATTCTATAGTCTTGTCTATAGTCTAGTCTATAGACTAGTGTATAGTCTAGTCTATCCTATAGCCTAGTCTATGGTTAGTCTAGCTTATGGAGTAGTCTATAGTCAAGACTATATATAGACTAGTCTTTAGTATAGTCGATAGTCTAGCCTATAGCCTAGTCTATAGCGTAGTCTATAGCCTAGTCTAGTCTATTGATTAGTCTATAGTCTAGTCTATAGACTAGTTTATAATCTAGTCTATAGCCTAGTCTAATCTATAGTCTAGCGTAGTACTTTAAATATTAAAAAAGTACCCATTTTGTTACAAGTTAGAACTAATTTTTCAATGTATATTAAATCTTAATTAACACTCAGATAATCAGAACTTCAAATTTGAGCCTGATATCTTTATAAAAATGTTGAATTTCTTAAATTAAAAAAAAAAAATTAAGGATTTCGGCCATAGCTAGGAACTATATAGTTTTTTGCATTTAATAACCAAAAGTAGTACAATATTAAAAATTTTATTTTGATCTCCAGTTTTAGTAATTTAAAAAAGACCAGTCTCAAAACTAGTGCTGTAATAAAATATGTATTTTAAATTGCTCTTAGGCGTATTACTCCAGCATCTGTACAAGTGTACGACTACAATTATTAAACACTGTATTTTGTTAAAATGGCTGACAGATAAAATATAGCATTACTAATGTCAATTATTTTTATTATATTTACTAGTTTGCAAAAACATTTATTTGTCATTTAGAAAGCTTTTAAAAGTATTAAACAAATATGTACTAGAATTACAATTTTATAAAAACACAAGTGTAATAATTAAATAAAGCTTTTAAGGTTTTTCCAAGTTGAAAATATATAATTCCACTTAAATTGTACCAAGTAATTATAGATAATTACAGTTTTCATTTGGTAAAAAAATAGAATTTATAAAAACTTTATACGATAGTATATCTTTTTTTTATCGAAAAACAAACACGACAATATGGCAGCCGGCCAAAATGGCGTCATGAGGTTTTTAGCTTATAGAACAAGTTGTATACAAACGTACAGTACAATAAATTCAAAATGCAAATTCGGCCATTAAACAATAAAATAAAAACACAAGAAATGTTTTGGTTTGAAAACACAAAAAAAAAAACTAAACAGAAAAAGTTCAATATTATTTAGTCTTTATGCAAAATGTTTACACACATACTTAGTATGTTTGTTTGTCTGTTCGACCCTCACAGATTGAAATAAAATGTGATCTCAGAAAAAAAAAATTCAAATTACTTTTTCCATATGTTAGTTAGGAAATTTGAAAGTATGTATTAATAATTTTTTTATAAAATAATGATAAGTTTACTTACAGTTATATAATTTAAGCAATCGCTCTATGTAATTGGGGGTTTTTTTAGAAAACCCACGAAAAAATTATAACTTTACAATCGCGGTTTGAGGAAATTTATCGAAAATTTCCTCTAAACGTTTCAAATATAAAAAGAACTTTTGACTTTATTTAATTGCGTAGTTTTTTTTTTAAACCACAAAAAATTACAAAGAAAAACACACACGTCGTCTATTACGTTTTTGTCTACGTTTCTATGAGTTGTTAAAAAAGATTCACTTTATATTATGATTTTTTCTTTCTTATTTTTTTTAAACAAAATATTTCTTTTCTAAGGTAATTATTCTTTTACATTTAGAATTTGTTAAAAACAAATTCACTTTATTTATTGAAAAATCACTCAAATTTAGGGATATTTCCTTATTTTTGGTGTTATGTTATGAAATTGAAACACTTGGATATCGGCCGAATGCGAATTTAAGACAAACTGTTAATATTGTACTTTTGTCAGCAGCAAACTTTCGTTGTGAAATTCATTTTTCAGTACAAATGTTGTGCACAGTCATTCGATTTGATTGTGTGTATCTGTGTGTTAGCTTTTTACACATACCTACACATTGTTTTGTGTTTTTGTTCAACATGTGGATGATGGTTTCTTCTTGAAAGCTCTGAGATACAACAATAAAATTTGTTATAGAAATAAAATAATAAAAAACCCCATATTTTTTGATTAAAAATACTGTTTACTTTGTTTGTGGATTTGTTCGTTTCTTTTAAAATCTTAAGTGGAAAAAAGAGTTATTTAACATGCTGATCATTTGCCAATGGTTCAATTAATTCAATTTTCAACCCAGAGAGCATAGTATACTTTTCTTAAGAATTGAGCATTGAGTGCTGATCCGAATCTGACATATTCTAAGTTTAGGTTTGGATTTAGCTCAGCTCAATCATTAGAAAATTTGTACTTGAGTTCTTTATTGATGTACATAGTATAATACTTATATATAATACTATATATATATTTCGATACTATTTAGCTCAAGGACGAAACATACCGGGTGAGGAATACATTTTGTCAATTTTACAATATTAACGGTAAAATCCATCCATGTATGTATTAAAGGGAATTTTTTATTTTGTATTTCTAAGAGAATTTTGAGTCTTAAATTCCCAAAGAAGGTCTAAAGTTAAAAAAGGCATAGAATTGATTTATATATACAATTTTCTCATAATAATAATATATTCAATGCGATACCTAGTTAAGTATATAGTGTAAAGTGACATAAATTCTAAATTATTTTACTGAAGTGGAACTTATATCGGGTCATGTATTAAAAGTGGTCAGATTTCTGTATAATCAACATATTTTATAAGTCTGCATAGTTCCGATTATATTCTATTCCAGTAAAAAAATGTATGCGTTTCTGTATAAATCTCTAGCAAATCTAAGCTTAATATAAATTGATTTGTATTTATCGAAATTTTTATTTGGATTCATTAAGAATGTAATAAAATAAAAGTTTTTTTTTTAACTTATAATGTGAAGATAAATTATTAAGTGGCATGATTAAGGAATGTTTGTGTGTTACTAAAATATATTTCGATTTCTAAAATAAGCCTTTCATATTTCTAACAATATCCCAGTATTTTCATTACCTTAATGTACTTCGGAAATGTTTACTAAACCCATAAATCAAAATGAACATTTTTTTAAAACTTAACAACTAAATTGATTTTAATTTGGCGTGATTAATAGAGAAATGAGACTCGTACTTTCCAAAATTTATTGAACACTGCATCACAAATATGATGCTTAGTGATCTCTTTCATCACAAATTATTATTATTTTTTTCTATGAAATTCCAGTTATTGGCATATATGCAAGTTCAATGGAATTTTAAATACATAAGATTTCTGAGATTTTATTGCAAATAAAAAAATGTTTGTTGGGATTTGCAAAAATAAATTTAAATTTCTTTGTTTTTCAATTGTTTGCTAATATTTTTTTCTTTTTTACATATTTATGTATGTACCCTAAGTTTTCTATGTATTTGCGCTGCCATGCTTATTTTATTGGTTAAACATTATTAGAATAGGTGGTACACATTAACTAATAATCTAACTTTCAGTGATAAAGTTGGTATTAAATGTGTGCCTGTAATGTTAATAGATAATTTATATGTTAAAAAATGTCAAATCGATCATATCAACTGATAAAATGTTATAAATAATTAACAATTCAAAGAAAACATTTTTATTCCAAGAAATATGATAAAAAAGTTTGTATGTATTTTAATAATTATTACTGTTAAATAAAAGCTTTTCGTTTAAACATTAGTTATGTGTGATACTAAAAATAACATAAAATATATTGCAAAAATTATAAGTAATTTATTGATAATTTATTGTATTATATAATTTTTAGATTTCTGTCCTGAATCTTATATACCATCCATAAAATCATGCGATTATTCCAATTATGGACCGATCCTTATAGAATTTTACAGAGATTTTTAGTTCTGATAAATGATATATGAGCGTTCAAGAAATTTTCCGGGAAGTACCTTCAAAATGCTTTACTAGTATTTTGAAGTTATGATCTTTTTAAGGGATACCTTATATAACGAGTAGGGTCCATTATGGACCAATCCTCTTTAAACTTAAGATTTTATAGTTAGTATAAATCATGTTTATATCGAATTTCGTTGTTATATTGATCATATTTAGCAAATTATAAATCATATTATAATCAATAATAAACTGGTCCCCACAAAACATGTCAGAGAGATTTTAGTTAATATAAAACCTGCCTATATTGAATTTTGTTGCTATACATATTAGAATTTTGTAGGAAATTAAGAGCCTTACAGTAGTTTTACAAAAACATTTTTTCTCCTATAAAACATGTTTATGTCGAATTTCATCGCTATAAATTACTTTTTTAGCCAATTATAAGCGTTATAGTAATTTTCTGAAGACCTTATATGGGGGCTAGGTGAAATTTTGTAATAACAAACAAACTGCATTAACTTAAAATATGTTGGCAAAAATTTCCGTGGCTAGATCGTTTTAGAATCAAATGAGAACCCAGAATATATACTTTTACTGGTCTTCGACTAATATATGTGTTACAGACGGAATGACAAAATCAATAAACACCCTGTCCTCGGAATAGTAAATATAATTGGCTATAGATAAAGTATATTGTCTGGACATACATTGCCTGCGGAATAGTCTATTGTCCAGACTATGGTTTAGTCTTTTGATTAATCAAAATGTGGACTAGTCCATACATTAGTCTGTGGCATAGTCTGTAGACCAGTGCAGTACGCTAGTCTAAGGACTAGTCTATTGTCTACTCTATTACCCATATATAGTCAATAGACTATAGAAATAATAGACAAGTAATTAAGTATGTACATACTTTTTATTCTAAGAAGTAGACTTTTTGGTAAATTTATGAAAGTACTGCTTCAAAATTTATTTTTTCCACGCCCGATCGTGAACATATATATACATTTCGACCTATTTTATATTGAACTAACCAATCACAATTTTCTGGGATATGTTATAAATTTTAATCGATATTAACTTGATGATTTCTCCCATAAAATCTGAACCACCCTAGTCTATAGTGGCATTTAGGTATATGCTTGAAATTTCCCATCACAGGGGAATGGTGTGTTTTTATAAAAAAAGCTTTGAATACGTACATACATGTTCAAAATACAGGGAAATAAAAATATTGCTGTTGCTGTATGGGTAAATCTATATGTTGTACAAGAAACTTTACAAACACATTCAACTAATTCTTGGAACTGACAAAGCTTTTGTAATTTGTTTTTATTATTGTTTGATTTTATTTTTTTATAATCTTATCGTTTGTTGTGGTTATATTCTTCCATCTCTTTCTTTCCTACACAAATGGATGGCTACTAAAAGAAAAATGTGAACTGCTAATGTTATACATACATACTAAAGTAACTGAGTTTTAAAAAAAAAGTTTTATGAATGAGTCATCAACAAGTTTATAAGTTTCGCATGTAGATATAAACAATTAGAGATATTTTGTGCTGCAACAAAAACGAACAAATGACAATATACACTTTACGTCTCTATACACCTTTTGATCAAACAATAAAATCGCGGGGAAATCTCCAAAAAATCCCCTTTTTTTAATGTGGTCATTGAAAGTATTGTTGTTGTTTGTAGTTTTCAGATACTTTTGAGAATATGTATGTATGTACATATGTTTATTGTATTACATATATATAGGTATTAATTGGGGTTGCCAATCTCAATAATTATTTTACTTTTCGCAACTTATAGGTACTACAAGTCTGATTTGTAGTATAACTATATACATACTACAATGTACGATTTTAGGTATATGTATCCATCAGGGGAGAGTACGCATCCAAAACGTTATTTGCTTAAATACTGTCAGATCCCCCGATCTATTAAAAAGTTATGAGAAACAAATAAGAATGTTACATCCATATATTCGGTTATACAGAATCTTATATAGCCACCATCAAAGCGGTCGAGCTATAAAAAAGTGAAGATTTTTACTTATGCTAAATTGTATTATGCTAAATTGTATTATATGGAATAGGTCAGAATGAACCGAGCTATACAGCATTTAAAAAAGTTATTAATTTTTTGTTTCTTATAGAACATAGGTATTAATCTTGAATTATATTGCTATTCTAAAATTTTTAAGCCAATTATGAACGTTGAAGCCATTTTCTGAAGGGAACTTAATGGCGCAAGTAATTTCAAAAATTTTAAATTTTTCAAAATATTTGGCAACCTTAAAAATTTAATAACAATAAGTCATTAAGTTAATTATATACACTAAGTTTGTATTATAAAAATCCTACGTGTTTGTAAATTTGTATCTACACCTGCTGTGTGCAATTTTTGTGATGTGTCCATTTTTTTGGCAAATGGTAACTGGTACCACCATTATTTTCACTATATAAACAATAACATTACAGAATATATTCAAAAATAATTTTGTTGATAGTTTTTGTTTTGTAAATAACGTAATGATCATTTAGTCAATTTTTTTCAATATGGCCGCTTTACAATATGTCTGTTTATTATTTTTGCACACGATGAGTTGGCGAAATTCCTTACAGCATTTTAAAATGTAAACAAAATCTAAATATTTTTTTATTTGTCAATTGTTTTTGTTTATATCATTACGTTATAGTAAAAAAGAATAGAATAAGAAAATTTAGAAAAATATAAAGTAAATAGGACCTTAATAAGTTATGAGAAACATTTAGAAAATTAATGACAACTTTGTTTTTTCAAATCAAAACTTAAAAAAATGTCTACTTGTTTCAGTTACATATATGTATGACGTTGTAAACGTCAAAACTAAAATCCAACTTTTCAAGTATATTTGATAAGTAAAAATTTAGTTTAAGTTCATAGCTATTAGAAATAGCTTTAGAAATAGCTTTATAAGCCTTAATGAAATCTTCCAGTTTGGACCCTAGTCCCTAGTCCAACACTGTCTAATTAACTTAATTCAACATTTTAGTTAATAACAACCACATATTAACTTTTTTCCTCCCTACAGACAGAACCACCAGAGAGCAACCATTATTTGTTTTTTGCAATTCATTTATCACTTTACGGTCATTTAGAGATTCCTAGAATTAGTAATTGCATGGGGTACATTCACCAAAATATATTGTAAAAGAAAAAATATAATTATCCCCTAAATAGTGGTTGCGTGTTGTCAAATGACGTTGGTTAAAAGTTTAAAAAAATCAATGGTCATAAAATCGTAGGCGTTAAGTTTATGGATGATTCAATTCAACTTTGTTTTTCTTACACTCAAAAAGATATGGAAAACATATATGTACATATGTATGTACCGCCATATTCATAAAGATATTAATCTTTTATTTATGTTTTATTAAGTACATACATTTTCCATACTAAATTCCTATAATAAACCTATTTTATTAAACATTTTTGAATACGGGAGATATTTTAAAAAACATTTTTTTTCTAATTTTTTTATAAACTAAACTTTTGAAACGATTTCTTAACTATAAACTGATTTTTCTATAAAAGTAGTCATATAAATAGGTGGTAAGGTCAATCTATGAGCGATTGATCGTTATATATTTTGGGAAACAGATTTCATTTCTAATAAAACTAGTTTAATTTAAATTTTAGCGCTATACCAAGATTTTCAAAGCCTCTAATGAATAGATTATAGGAGAGTTTGGGCATTTATAGATTAATCATCATACAATTTGGTGGACAGGTATTGGTTCCTATAAAAATTACTTTTATAGGAACCTTATGTCGAATTTCATTACTATACCGGTATTTATAAGTCAGTTATGGCTGTTTAAACTGCATTCCGGATAGGGCACTTGTATAGGGGCTTTGTTAAATCGTGGACCGATATCCATTTGTAATACCAAACAACTCGCATTAATAAAATATATTTGTGGAACCTAAATTAACCCACATTATAAATTTGTTTCTGGGGTTAGGTTAATATTTCGATGTACAAATTAATATAACCCATTTTTTTGATGGTGGGTATAAATGGTGAATGGTTAAAAGTACATACAAACAGTTTGGATCACCTTTTTTACTACATATTTAAGTTAGAAAACAAAATCTGTATCCAAAACCAAATATGATGTACTAACTACGTGGCCCAATAATAGCTGAACGCAAATAAAATTGTAATACATACATACTACATGATTTTTATTTTAAAAATAATTATTTGTGTAATTAAATCTTAAACTTACCGCGCATCATAATGTTGTTAAACATAGATGACGTTAGATACAATTTCATTGAAACACCTCTACCTCGACGTGTTGTTGCACGACCTTTAATGTTGTTGTTATTGTCAAGGCGTTTAATACGTTTAATAAAATTATTTTTGGTTGTCAACATAAACATTCGTTTATTAAAACAACAAATGTTGCCGATGCCGTGTAAAATGTTTCTGTCACAATGATGCCAACGACCAAGGCACATACGTTTTTGACAAAATAATTGCGATTTTTTTAAAGTCTGTTGTTTACAGTGTAAATGTTGCATAGCACTCGCAATAATGTTGCGATACAAGTTTTGTTCTACGATACTTGTTGCGGTGCAAGTATCTAAACAATTAGATGTTGTTGATGTGTTATTTGCTCTTGCCAACAAAGAAGCAGCAATAACAGCCAACATAATAAAAACACGTAAATTGAAAGTTATTCTTTCTTTTTTTTTTTTGTACTTCTCTATGAAAGAGCGAATTTGGGTATTGTGTACTTTTGAGATACGAAACTAATGCACGTGGAGTTTATGAAACTGGCTTAAATTTTAAAACTTATAATAAACAAAATGCAATGCGTCTTTCGCAGAATTTTTTGTAAGAAAATACAAAATTTTTGCTTTAAAATTTTTAATACTTAATATTTTTTCACTTCTTTTTTAATAACAATTTTCCACAAAATTATATAATTTTATTAATTAATAACGTTCTATGAATATGAAATCTTTATAATATTGTTCAAAAAAAGCCATTAGTTTGCAATTGGTAGCCACAATTTTAAATTATATTATTAGTGATTAAGATGATTTTTTAATTTCATCAATTTATTGTATTATTTGTATAAATTTTACACAAAGAAAATACACACACAAACACATTTAAATACACTTTTTTTAATTTATTTTTTAATTGTTGCTTTTCTTTTTTAGTTTAATTTGACAGCTGATTCCACTATCTCTTTGTTTTTCTTATTTGTATTTTTATTCGCTATTCGAGAACGTTTTATTTTTAATTAGATAGGTATTTTGTTGATTTTCTTTAAGCTTTTGTTTCACCAGCGTAAAATTTTGTTAAACGTTTGTCTTATTAATGAAGTTCACAAATAAACTAAATTTTTATTCCGACACTGTTCCCTTCATGAAATTTTTTTTTTATGTTTCTTTTTGCAAAATCGTGTTTTATTGTTTGTTTTGTTGTTGTTAATATTATTGACGTACTAGTAGTAGACTTACATATGAATATAAATACCGCATTACTACCCTATACTAAAGAGAGATAGAAAACTCAAATGTAAACCTAAGGTTGCCATATTTTCTTAAGATTCACTCACCTCTAACTAAAGAAGAATTAGTGATTAAGTCTTTTCTGTGTTGGAATTATATTATACGTAATAATTTAAAATAATAATTTTACATTAAAAAGTAATTCCTTCAAATCTTTAGACAAATATAATTGATTGTAGTTTAAAAATCTTTTCAAATTTATAACTAATTTGTTAAAATAAATTCCCTCATCCGGTAACATTATTTCAGCTGATGAATAATTTAATAATGTTAGACAATTGAGAGAATATAAACAAGTTGAATGCTCTTTATTTTATTTTTTGTTTTACTTGTGAGATTTACATTTCAAAATTTTGTTAAATTCTTGAACTTGACAGTACTTTTTCAGTCAGAATTAGATAAGTTTTATAATCTATAATTATTTTATTTTTAAAAAAGATTGATAACATTTATTAGACTAATTGCATTCAATCCATAGAAAATAAATTATGTATTTGAAATTGTTATAGATAATAATATTGATTTCAAAACAATATTGAAGAAAACTTTTTTTTATTAATATGACGCTTTTTGAATGACGCACAGCGAAGGTATTTAAAAAATGGAATTTGTTGCAGTTAGTAGATCGAGAAATTCTGAGCTATATACTATTATACTACGTATATACCCTTTTTATGTTTTACTTATAGCTCAGGAATTTTTCTTGACATCATTGTAGTAACTCATGCATTTTTCTTGCATTCCCATTCATAGTCGAAATCATGAGTTCTCACATCGATACTTCCTTCCGACGTTAATGTAATGTAGTAGATTCGATTTTTCAAACTCAAACGCATCGATATTTTATTGAAAAATTATGTTCAGCGATTAGGCAAATTTTGCCTTAATATAAAGAATGAAATATTTCCGGTGGAAATGTGTTTTCAAAAGGATGGCGCTATATGCCATATCTTATTGAACTCCCGAAATCCTCTTGATTTCGTTCTAGATTAGCTGAACGAAGATTCATTTAGCGATCGCTACTCAAATTCCACCATCTTTTTCTTATACCAATTTGTTTTAATAACATCTTTACAGATCTATAGATCTTTTTCAATTTCGAAAAGTTTTTTTTTATACCCTCCACCACCATCAGTGGTGATAGAGGGTAAATATAATTTTGTTATTCCGTGTGTAACACCATGAAATATTCATCTGAGACCCAACAAAGTATATATGTATATTCTGGGGCCTTATCAAAATCTGAGTCAATTTAGCTATGTCCGTCTGTCCGTCTGTCTGTGTAAAACACGCTCACGATAAAACGAAGCAATAGAGTTTAACCAAATTCACCCAAAATGTTCTTCATTTTCCTAAGTTGTTTGGTATTGAAAATGGGCAAAATTTAAAACAACCTCGAAAAAAATAAGCATTTTTTACACATTCTGATGTAATTTTCTCGAAAACTATGCAAGATAATTCCATGAAAATCACCATACATTCGTTTCTACACAAGAGCTTGATCCCTGCTGAAAATTTTCTGAATCGGTCCACAATTTCATATACCTCCCATACAAAAGTACATATTCCCGGAAAATGGGTTTTTTGTTAACAACTTCCGTCACAATGTCGATATCTTCACAAAATTTTACAAATTAAAATCTTATGTCAATAGAATTCATACAAAGGAAAAATTTTCTGGGTCGGTCCATAATTGGACATAGCTCCCATATAAGGTCCCCTCCCGAAAATCACTTAAACGCGCATAACTCATTACTAAATTAAGATATCCATATAAAATTTGGTACAAGTATTACCCATATGCATAGAAATATTACTGTAAAAGTTTTTTCCGATCGGTCCATAATTGGTCATAGCTCCCATATAAGGTCCCCTCCCGAAAATCACTTAAACGCGCATAACTCATTAATAAATTAAGCTATCCATATAATATTTGGTACAAGTATTACCTATATGCATAGAAATATTACTGTGAATTTTTTTTCCGATCGGTCCATAATTGGTCATAGCTCCCATACAAGGTCCCCTCCCGAAAATCACTTAAACGCGCATAACTCATTACTAAATTAAGTTATCCATATAAAATTTAGTACAAGTATTACTCATAGGCAGAGAATTATTACTGAGAAATTTTTTTCCGATCGGTCCATAATTGGCCATAGCTCCCATACAAGGTCCCCTCCCGAAAATCACTTAAACGCACATAACTCATTACAAAATTAAAATATCCATATAAAATTTGGACAAAAATATTACTGTGAAACTTTTTTCCGATCGGTTCATAATTGGTCATAGCTCCCATACAAGGTCCCCTCCCGAAAATCACTTAAACGCACATAACTCATTATAAAGTTAAGATATCCATATAAAATTTGGTACAAGTATTGCTCACATATACAGAAATTTTACTATGAAAGTTCTTTTTGGATCGGTCCATAATTGGTCATAGCTCCCATACAAGGTCCCCTCCCGAAAATCACTTAAACGCGCATAACTCATTACTAAATTAAGATATCCATATAAAATTTGGTACAGGTATTGCTCATATGCACAGAAATATTACTGAGCAATTTTTTTCCGATCGGTCCATAACTGGTCATAGCTCCCATGCAAGGTCCCCTCCCGAAAATCACTTAAACGCATATAACTCATTACTAAATTAAGATATCCATATAAAGTTTGGCAGAAGTATTGCTCATATACAGATAAATATTACTGTGAAATTGTTTTCCTATCGGTCCATAATTTATCATAGCTGCTATACAAGGTCCCTTTCAGAAAAACACTTAAAGGCACATAACTCATTTTACGATCGGTCCATGTTAGGTCATAGCTCTCATACTAGGTCCCCTTCAAAAAAGAAAATGGCGTTTGTAATGTTCAATAAATCTTGGAATTGTAATAGATTTTAGTTGTTTAAATCTTGGGATTTTTCTATTTAAGACATGAGAAAACTTATTTCTACAAATATTTGATCAATTAGAAAAGTATTAACATAAAAGTAGCTGGTGGAGGGTATTTAAGATTCGGCTCAGCCGAATATAGCACTCTAACTTGTTTAATAAATAGGTAAGTAAATTGATAATTCTGGCAACGATACTCAGTATGTTAGCTCATTTATGTATGTCTGCTATTATTGCTAAAGTTGAGTTAACAAGTAAAAAACTATGATTGTATAAGTTTAGAAAATATATTTTTTGCAAAATCATCGTGTGTATTTTGCACAGATACAATACAATATATAAAACAAAAACAAATTTATGTTTGCCCACTTTTTTCAAATCTCTTCACTGATAACTAAAAGAAGTGATTCACTTAAGTGAGGGGGGTTTGATTCGCACGCGTTTCTATTGCCATTCAATATAACGAATACAAACGAATGGTATTCAATTTTACCTTTAAAAATTGTTGTAGCCTCAAAACATTTTCAGAATACATTAACTTAAAAAAAAAAAAATAGTGTAAACTTGAAACCTACATACGAGTACGAACGTCTACAGATAGTATTTCTATAGAAATACACACTTTTTCCTCTTCTGTTGCTGTGCGCAAGTAAAAAGCAAATACAACAAACTTTTTGGGGGCAAATCCAAATGAATGGCTGATGCAAGACTTGAACAGTTTTACAACAGCTGATTTTTGTATTGCACAGGCAATGTCATCAGCTGCATCTGATGCGAGAGGATATTTGAAGAAAAGAACACAAACAACATAATGAAAAGATGCTAAACTTTAGCAAAGTGAAGTTGAGTCTGTTAATGTTGTGTTGAGATGACATTGGTGTTTAGCAACATGTTTATATAAACTTGAATAGAGAGTTACTTCTATAGGACTAACAGCATTGTGCGTTTTTATACCCTACACCACTATACTGGAGGATATTATGCGTTTGTGCTGATGTTTGTAACACCCAAAAATATTGGTTCTGTTATGTTCTTACCTTGGCTAGCAAATAATTTACTATAAACAAGACAAAAACCCTTAAATGTAAAGAAAATTTCAGGAAATTATAAGATAAAATTAAATTTCGTAGGAAAATCGTTCTGAACAAAAATTTTAAACCAAATAGGTACCTATATCACGAAATTAAATTTTTTATCAAGATTTTTCTAATATGTGAGGTTCTTATCTTGGATAGCAAATTTTTCAATAGTCAAGACAAGAACTCCAAATGTAAAGAAAAATTTAGAAAATTTTGAGATGACATAATTTTGTAGTAAAATCGCTCTGAAATTTTTTTCGGAAATTTTGATGAAATGTTGGTCTGTGGTCCACTATGAGTTCATTTTCGAATTCAGCTTAAGTTTCAATCTTGAATGTAAAATTTTCGCAGCTCTAGGCTTCAAGACTCCGACATAATATGTACCACAAATTGCTTAAAATAAAAAATTTAGGGAAATTTTGATGAAATATTGGTCCCAGGACCATTCTGATTTAATTTTTGGATTCATCATGGGAGTTAACCAGAAAATTGAGTTTGGAAAATATGAAATAAAATTTCGTGGAATTTTTGGTTCAAAATGTGTGTGGTGAAATTTTTATGAAATATTGGACCTAGCTCAATTCTGAAACCATTTTCGTATTCAGCATAGATTTTAGTCTTAAATAACAATTTGCAGTTTCCCTCGACCTTCAGATCCCGAAATAATAGTACAAATTGTTCAAAATAAAAGAAATCAGGAATTTTGATTTAGCATGTGAATTACCATAAAGGTGAGTTTCCAGCCAGCAGTTCCCGATACTTTGACATCCCCCATATGAATTAAGTACAAAAATTCGTATATCTGAGAATCTATTAGAGATAGAATCATCAAATTTTGCAAAAACAACTTGGACATCTACGTGAACATTAGTGTTATAAATAGGCGAATAAGCATTAGGGGGCGTGACACCTCAATATGAATAAAATATAAAATTTCATATATCTTGGAAACTATTAGAGATAGAATCACAAAATTTTGCAAGAAGAACTGGACACCTATGTGAACTACAACTGGTAGGAGACCTGTTGTACAAGTAGCTTTAGCATCAATATTAATATTTGGTCGGCTAGAAATACTGGGCGTGGCTCCTTCCACATAAATAAAATACTGAAAGTCGTATATGTGGGAATATATATAAAAACTAGAAAAAAATTATATGGAAATATGGTTTTTAGTGTAGCAAAGCACACTGGGTAAGCTAGTATTTTATAAATTAAGTTGTGTTGGCTCTGTTATAACGTCTCAAAAATATCCAAAAATTGCGGTAAGGATATCTCGAATCCGAGATGAAATGAAGAAAATATCTTTAGTCTTTGGGTTAAAAATTTGTCGGGTGCAGGTTTAATTTCGATTACGAAATTCAACATTAATTTCAAACGATTCTAATTTAAAACTTAATCCATTATATAAAAAAGTACCTTTTCTCATAGAATGTGCCGAATTGTACCTTATAAATAAAGCATGACTATGTTATAATTTATTTTACTGATATTGTGTTTAATGAAAAGAAGAGAACAGCAACTGGGAACACAAGCTGAGATAAACTTAATTAATCTGTAGAGATTTCTGTGTGAAACAATATCTTTAAAATGGGGTGCCATTAATTTTAATTAAGCTCATACACTTATGTTTGAAGATCTCTCTACTCTCTTGGTTTTAGAACATATAGTTAAATTGGTAAAATCTGGCAACGTTTATTATATTAATTTAAAAATTTTATGGTATCAACCAGATTTGTAAACCGCTCTAGCTCACATGTTGAGTCATTCTTGGCTGCCACAAAGTATTATCGACGAGGTACCAGAGTTAGCACAGATCTGTAAAAATCTTATAAAACTGGTTAATGTTGGACAATTTCAATACTATTTCAAAACGTGACGTTTCGTATAGAATACAATAAAGAAAGAAAAATATATATACAATAAAAGATCAAAAAGATACAATAAACAAAATGAGAACAAACTGCAGGAGAGTTATGTTTTTGTTTATCCAAACCGGCCGCACTTTTTCCATTGTTTGGAAGAAAGTCTACTTAAAAATAAGATTAGAATGTAAAAAATAAGTCAGTTTCAATTTAAAGGCGAAGGAGAATGGATTAATAAGAAAACTAAAGAAATAAAAGTAAGATATTAAAAACAAAACTTTGTTTACTTGGCAGTATGTGATTTCATATAAATTTACTTATATTTTTGATAAACAGGCTCTAAATCAACTATGAAGTCTAACATATGGTTAATTTTATTAATTTCTACTTTATCGCTGACTTTGTGCCGGGCAGGAGAAATTAAAAATGTTTTATTATTGCTGGCCGATGATGCTGGCTTTGAGATGGGAGCGTATTTGAACAAATATTGTCAAACCCCCAATTTGGATAATTTGGCCAGAAAAGGTTTACTCTTCAATAATGCTTTTACAACAGTCAGCAGCTGTTCACCAAGTCGGGCCCAAATTCTAACGGGACAGGCTAGCCATGCCAATGGTATGTATGGTTTACATCAAGGTGTACATAATTTCAATGTTATACCGGGTGTGAAATCTTTACCAAATGTCTTAAGGGAAAACTCTAAAGGCTCGGTATTGAGTGGTATTATTGGCAAGAAACATGTGGGTTCGAATGATGATTTTAAATTTGATTTTGAACAAACTGAGGAGCAACATGCCATTAATCAAATTGGTCGAAATATTACCAATATTAAATTGTACACAAGAGAATTTCTGCAAAAGGCCAAAAAGGAAAATAAACCATTCTTTTTAACGGTGGCTTTTCATGATCCTCATAGATGCGGTCATATTACACCACAATATGGTGAGTTTTGCGAAAGATGGGGATCAGGTGAAGAAGGTATGGGCACAATAACCGATTGGAAACCCATTTACTATGATTGGCGCAATTTGCAAGTACCAGCCTATTTACCCGATACTGATGTTGTGCGTCAAGAATTGTCGGCCCAATATATGACCATGTCTCGTTTGGATCAGGGTGTTGGTTTGGTTCTAAGAGAATTGCAAAATATTGGTTATGATGAAAATACTTTAGTGATTTTCACCTCAGATAATGGACCACCATTCCCCTTAGGTCGTACAAATCTGTATGAACACGGTATAAGGTCACCGTTTATTTTGGCTTCGCCCATGAATGAGGACAGACATTTGCAAACTACCGCAGCCATGACCAGTTTATTGGATATTTATCCCACCGTTTTGGAGGCCTTGGGAATAAAACAAGATAATACAACCGAACAAATATATACCAAATCCCTATTGCCTCTTCTGAAGGCAGAACCTCAACCATTAGAAGATGATGCCGTTTTTGGTTCTCATAATTATCATGAAATAACCATGAACTATCCTATGCGTATGATACGTACTAGACGTTATAAACTTATACACAATCTCAATTATTGGTCCTACTTCCCCATAGATCAAGACTTTTACACTTCACCCACATTCCAACAAATTCTAAATGCCACAATAAATCATCAACCATTGGCCTGGTATAAAAACTTACTGTCTTATTATCAACGTCCAGAATGGGAATTGTACGATATCAAAACAGACTCATTGGAACGTTTCAATTTGGTGGATAAACCCAAATATAAAGCGATTTTGAAACAGTTAAAACAGCGTTTATTAAAATGGCAAAATGATACTAACGATCCATGGCGTTGTGCACCACATGCTGTCCTACAGGCTCAGGGTGTTTTTAAAAAGAATCCAGTATGTTTGTCTTTGGCTCATGAAGCTCTAAAGAAACCTTTAACTCACTATGAAAAATATGTGTTACTTTAAGTTTAAATTGAAATTTTTCATAGAATATAGTGAAAAATATAAATTTATTTTAATATTTTTTTTTGAACTATGTATTACAAAATCGAGTTATTATTTTAATAAAAAAATATTTTAAAATTAATAATATTATAAAGGATTTATATTAAATGTATGTATATTGAAGTGTCCCGTGGAATAGCCTTTTTAAAAATCTCATGTAGGAATACCTCTTAATAGATGCGTATTAATGTAATGAACACGAGAAGAATATTTTTTTTTTTGTTAAATGGTCGTCAGTTTTCTACCAGTGATTAAAAACCCTGACATTAGTATAATTAGTATGTCTGTTATTGCTGTTATGCCACGATATCTGGAAAACCTAATGTAATGAATAATATTTGAGATACGGATTCAGCGCTGCTACATCGTTTAGAAAAGTATACTTTGTTTTCTAGATTTAAAACTTGTAGACCTATGTATTCAATCAATCAATCTGTCAAAGTTACAGTTTCCGTAAAATCGTTCTGGGCGTTTTCAGCCCATTTTCAATTCTTCAAATGTGATGGTCTGACCTGCTTTCAGATGCTCACAATAGCGCATCGGATATTTGGTTGATTGGGAGCGTAACATACGAATTCTTTATTCTTATTATGTTACTAAGGAAATTTTCAATTCGATATTCGGTGGTTCCAGCTGAAGCATTTTTTTCCCAAGTCTGTTATACAGATTCCAGGTGGTTCCAGCTGAAGCACTTTTTTCCCAAGTCTGTTATACAGATTGAAAGTGATTGAAAACCCTGACATTAGTATAATTAGTGTGTCTTCGAGCTGTTATTGCTGTTATGCCACGATATCTGGAAAACCTAATGTAATGAATAATATTTGAGATACGGATTCAGCGCTGCTACATCGTTTAGAAAAGTATACTTTGTTTTCTAGATTTAAAACTTGTAGACCTATGTATTCAATCAATCAATCTGTCAAAGTTACAGTTTCCGTAAAATCGTTCTGGGCGTATTCAGTTCATTTTCAATTCTTCAAATGTGATGGTTTGACCGGATTTCGGATATTTGGCTTTGGCTGATTGGGAGCGTAACATACGAATTCTTTATTGTTATTGTGTTACTAAGGAAATTTTCAATTCGATATTCGGTGGTTCCAGCTGAAGCACTTTTTTCCCAAGTCTTTTATACAGATTGAAAAATGTTTAGATTTATATCAACTGCATATTTATCTGTATTTTCAAATAGTGCCTTAAATTATGCAATACAGTTTGATCAAATCATGATTATAACAATTAAGCTTTGAATTCAAACTGAGATTGGCATTTCTCAAATGAAAGAAACATTGACAGCCCCACACAAGTCAGTTCGTGAGATTTGGCTTCCAACATTGTTAAATTATGAAAATTGGCACTTAATTACATTTGAAACAAATCCAATATTTAATTGAAGTTCAATGATTTTACGAGCAATAAATTTACAAAAGAAATTGTAATAAAATGTAGTATTATAAAAGAAGCTTTAAACTGTATTGACTTCAAAATTCAAATTGGTTTGGAAAAACCATCACGCATAAGAAAAAATTTTCGCAATAAATCAAATTAACTTATAAATAGTACTATGGTGGCAATAAAATTACTCATTTTTATCGTTATCCTAGCATCCTTGATGTGTTCAGATATTGTAGATGCAGCCGCTAAAAAGCAACGTCGTAATGTTAAACTTAAAAAGTCTACGCAGAATGGAAAACTAAAGGGTAATTTGAAAGCGGGTAAATTTACAATACTAATTGAAATATAAATATGAAATTTAAATTAAATCTTCTATAACAGGCCCCGCTTCAAAATCGAATCAACGCAATGGCAAAATGAATTATTACAATACACATTTTTGGCCTTCAACATCCACATATTATCGTCCTGCTACCAGTTCACCCTTATTTTTACGCTCGCCCTCAACAACATCATCATCCTCATCTATGTTTTATCCTATGCACTGGTCGAATACCTATATTAATCCATCCTCTTTTATGTCTTCAAATACCTTAAGGCGTACCGATGAATTTCCCTCGTCTCCTGTCCAGTCTCAAGCTCAGTCATCAATGATGTCATTGCCCAGTTCAAGCAGCCCCATGATGTCAATGGGTAATTCTCAAATACCTACTCTCTATGATATGAGTGCATTTACGGGTAATTCTGCTCTGCTGGAACATCCGTTTGGTAATTCTAATCAAAATTTATGGTCGGTTGGTGAAACGGTAGCTCCGACATCGAAATCTAAATTGAATCTATTTAATAGTTTTAATTATAATGATGACGGTGGTCTATTGAGCGGTTTTTTAAATCAATTTTTAAAATAAAACAAATCGTTTTTAAATAAATGGCGAAAATGGTAGTACTTTTTATATATTACTAACTAAGACCAGTTTGGCTTTCGATAAGATACTTTTTGATAATATACAATATCGATTGATTTACATTTTTGACCTTTATGTTGCTAAAACTGCAACATCGTTTTGGGTCACATTATATTAACACACTTATTGTGTGTTCCAAATATAGAATAATTTTAAAATTCTTGTGACTTCCAATATATATGACCAATGGTCAGTATATATTTTATTACAAAACTTATCACAAGATCCCACAAAATTAGCAAACTATTTAACAACACCATTTACATTTTCTTATCAAAATCATTGTCACTAAATATGAAACTTTCAGTTATAAAATTGAAAATTTTATCGAGAATTAGTAAAACGGTTAACTTTCGAAGAAGGATGATATATGTAGTATATAAACATCATATCTGAAAATATACAACTATACAGGGCCTGTTCTGTGCTCCTTTAAATGTATAGTTTTTGATGAGTGAATCACCCTTAGATTGGAATTATCATCGAATGATTCTGAAACTAGGTCCTCTGGACATAATTTCTTAAAATTTACAATTTTCCCATCACTCCCAAAGCCGTATATTTGTCAATAACCTCCATTATGTCGCCTTTATCAAATATCAGACAACGTGAATAATGTAGTGTTAATTATACAGGGCCTGTTCTGCGCTCCTTTAAATGTATAGTTTTTGATGAATGAATCACTATTAGATTGTAATTATCATCGAATGATTCTGAAACTCGGTCCTCTGGACATAATTCCTTAAAATTTACAATTTTCCCATCACTCCCAAAGCCGTATATTTGTCAATAACCTCCATTATGTCGCCTTTATCAAATATCAGACAACGTGAATAATGCAGTGTTAACTCTACAGGGCCTGTTCTGCGCTCCTTTAAATGTATAGTTTTTAATGAGTGAATCACCCTTAGAGTGGAATTATCATCGAATGATTCTGAAACTCAGTCCTCTGGATGTAATTCCTTAAAATTTACAATTTTCCCATCACTCCCAAAGCCGTATATTTGTCAATAACCTCCATTATGTCTCCTATATCAAATATCAGAGAACATGAATAACGTTAAGGGCCCCACATTTACCCAAGCAAATTTTACACACATTGTCCAAAGAAGTCCACCAGATTATAGAGGCAGAAATGAATCTATAAAATTGTAATTGGTCTAAATATCCAGTTGGACTAAGACCACATTTCTGGGCTAAAGTTGTTTTACATTGAGTGCATTGTTAGTTCACATTTTAGTTTACATTTTAGTTCCCGATCAAGGATTATATCAGGTATTTAACAGTCAATTACTGATATTGTCCTGTCCAAAAACTTGTGAACCTGAGAAATAGGACCTTTTCGGCCATACTACATTTGAATTCATGCCCGTTAAAAGTATGAAGACATCGTCAGCTTAACAAACTGGTCTAAATCCTTCATCGGCTAAAACGATGAAAAATTACCTTAGAATTATACAAGGACCCAGAATATACACAATTTTTTTATAGCTATAGGAAATTTAAAAATTATTTAAAAAAACTGAAATCAATTTTCCGCCACAAAACAGTGTAATGGAAATTTTTCATGTTTTCATTTTCAAAAACAAATTTGCGAATATAAACAAATTATTTAAAAATAAACTTAACACAAATATTTGTAACATTTCAGAAATGTTTAAATTAAAACCGTTGGCTTTTTGCCATATGTGATAAAAATATATCACGCGACTGTAAAAAAATCAAAGATCAGACACGTCATGTGTTTTTCTTTAGAAATGATTTCTATACAAATGCAATTTTAAGTAGATGCGTCGAAAATGTTTAAAAACATGATGAGTTTGCAAATTTTTGCTAAAATTGTTGTGTCGAAAATTAAAAAAAAAAAACATGATGAGTTTGCAAATTAAAAACAAAAACATTCGTATAAAAAAAGAATAATTGAAAATTAAAAGAAAAACAAAATTAACTCTAGTTCTTTCCATTTGGACCTATATACATAACCTATATTTCGATGTGTTCAAAAATAGAATAAGAAAATTTATTAATTATATTAATATTGCTTTAATAATTCTACGGTATTTATTTAAATTAAATTTAATGTTTTTAATAATAACTACTTTCTGATGAATATAAAGGATTGAAATTATTTGGTAATATATAAATATCCTCCGGACGACCATTGAAATAATATGGACGTTTTAGAGAAGTCAATTTCGAGTCCTGATGTGAAGACGATGAAGTTGATGCTGTGGGTGACGATGGAGATGATGATGATGAGGACGAAGTTGCAGAGCCAGGATATGGGATATAATTTGATGATGTAGTAGGCGATGGGACATTAAAGTAATTGTGTGAGGGTCTATAAGCATTAGGCGGAGGAGGTGGTGGAGGGCGTGTATTAAAGCTGGATGGTATATTAGCGAACTGCAAAGGATTTTGTACATCATTGGGAGGAGCACTCATTTGATAGATATTAGTGGGTTTACCATTGGCCAAAAAATTTATGGGGACATTGTAAATGGAGGAAAATGGCGGAAAGGGAGGTAACGACTGATACGGTAACATAGTAGGATAACCGGGCATGTTTGCAGAGGTGGAGCTTAAGCCTAGGCTTGGTAAGAACATATATGGTGTAGGTGGTAAACGAACATAATAGATAGGAGAATTGCGTGGATAAGAAGAAGGATGTTGTGTAGCAGCTGGACGTCTGGATGAGCCAGCACCACGTGACATCGAGTCTTCATAGTCATTAGCTAAATGTGGCAGAGTTGAGTAGCTGGGATAAAACATTTCTGGTGACATTATAAACGGATAGGGCACATATACCGGTTGAGGATAACTCATGATGGGCATAAATCGTGGTGTAACAGGAAATGGTGTTGAAAAAGCTTCAAAAGGATTAAAAATATGTGAAAATAACCCAGTCATCGGGGGAGGTGGCAAATTGTTGGTTGCATAAGTTCTGTCATATAAATTCCAAGGATAGGTGGGTGAAGATGGAATTGCTGACATAAATGGTGGCGGCGGTGGTGGTCCTTGGTATGTGTTGACATGCGTTTCTCTCTTTATTTCATTGAGAATTTGATAGGGATCGTTTAAATCATCATCGGTATGAAAATGTTTTAATACCTCTTGCATTACAGCTTCTTTATCATTAACTACATATTGAGCTTGAGGCAAGTGAGCTAATGATGAGGTTGACGACGAAGAAGATGGTATGGCTTGCGTTTCGGTATGCTGATGTCCAGCATTTGAGCTATGTAAAATGCTGTTAGTACTGATGCTGCTACTAATGCCATTAGCTGGGTGTGCCGCTATGCCAGATGGCAATGGTTGCTGAGACTGAAGCTGATTTTGCGTTTGAGTTTGTACATGGTGTGAATGCTGCTGCTGACGTTGTGCAGATGTTACTGTTGCTTGTCCCAATGTTTGCTGATGTTGCTGCCGCAATTGTTGCTGATTGTTGTTCAATTGATCTATATTGGCTGCACTTGTATGTACCACATTGAAATGAAGCAGCAACAAAGCCACAATCAACTGACCATATGCATAATACTTTAGCCACATTATCTTAGTTATTTAGTTGTTTCAGTTGTTTAACTATTTATTCTTTAACTGTTTTTGCTTTATTGCTAAATGAATGAATATTGTTAAAAATGATGTTGTATATTAAAAATGAATTACATTTAATACACTTCTTTTATGAATTTAGGTTTATGAGTCTCTTTATGCAGATTTTTTTCTATCATATGCGATCATATATTTTGTTGCTTTTTTCTTATGTATAAACGTGTATATTATTTATTTGTATTTATGGTAGCCTAGTTTATTTAAGTTTTATTATTATGCCATGTTTTATTTATGTATGTATTCGTTGAGATTCATCTATTTTTAAATGCACTATATAAAAAAGTAGATATGAACGTGTTATGTCAAAGTTTTCAGAAAGTTTTTTCTTTTTTTTTTTTGAAAAACTTTAGCTTAGATATTAAAATGGTATTTGGTAGTTAGTATTTTAATTTTAAACGGATAAGTATTGAAAACTTGGTTCTGTAATTAAGTACTTATTTGATTTATTTACAATGTATTTTAAGTTCAGTTCTAATTCGGTTCTAGTTCAGTTCTAGTTCAGTTCTTGTTAAGTTCTAGTGCTGTTCTAGTTCAGTTCTAGTTCAGTTCTAGTTCAGTTCTAGTTCAGTTCTATTTCAGTTCTAGTTCAGTTCTAGTTCAGTTCTAGTTCAGTTCTAGTTCAGTTCTAGTTCAGTTCTAGTTCAGTTCTAGTTCAGTTCTAGTTCAGTTCTAGTTCAGTTCTAGTTCAGTTCAGTTCTAGTTCAGTTCTAGTTCAGTTCTAGTTCAGTTCTAGTTCAGTTCTAGTTCAGTTCTAGTTCAGTTCTAGTTCAGTTCTAGTTCAGTTCTAGTTCAGTTCTAGTTCAGTTCTAGTTCAGTTCTAGTTCAGTTCTAGTTCAGTTCTAGTTCAGTTCTAGTTCAGTTCTAGTTCAGTTCTAGTTCAGTTCTAGTTCAGTTCTAGTTCAGTTCTAGTTCAGTTCTAGTTCAGTTCTAGTTCAGTTCTAGTTCAGTTCTAGTTCAGTTCTAGTTCAGTTCTAGTTCAGTTCTAGTTCAGTTCTAGTTCAGTTCTAGTTCAGTTCTAGTTCAGTTCTAGTTCAGTTCTAGTTCAGTTCTAGTTCAGTTCTAGTTCAGTTCTAGTTCAGTTCTAGTTCAGTTCTAGTTCAGTTCTAGTTCAGTTCTAGTTCAGTTCTAGTTCAGTTCTAGTTCAGTTCTAGTTCAGTTCTAGTTCAGTTCTAGTTCAGTTCTAGTTCAGTTCTAGTTCAGTTCTAGTTCAGTTCTAGTTCAGTTCTAGTTCAGTTCTAGTTCAGTTCTAGTTCAGTTCTAGTTCAGTTCTAGTTCAGTTCTAGTTCAGTTCAGTTCTAGTTCAGTTCTAGTTCAGTTCTAGTTCAGTTCTAGTTCAGTTCTAGTTCAGTTCTAGTTCAGTTCTAGTTCAGTTCTAGTTCTAGTTCTAGTTCAGCTCTAGTTCAGTTCTAGTTCAGTTCTAGTTCATTTCTAGTTCAGTTCTAGTTCAGTTCTAGTTCAGTTCTAGTACAGTTCTAGTTCAGTTCTAGTTCAGTTCTAGTTCAGTTCTAGTTCAGTTCTAGTTCAGTTCTAGTTCAGTTCTAGTTCAGTTCTAGTTCAGTTCTACTTCAGTTCTAGTTCAGTTCTAGTTCAGTTCTAGTTCAGTTCTAGTTCAGTTCCAGTTCAGTTCTAGTTCAGTTCTAGTTCAGATCTAGTTCAGTTCTAGTTCAGTTCTAGTTCAGTTCTAGTTCAGTTCTAGTTCAGTTCTAGTTCAGTTCTAGTTCAGTTCTAGTTCAGTTCTAGTTCAGTTCTAGTTCAGTTCTAGTTCAGTTCTAGTTCAGTTCTAGTTCAGTTCTAGTTCAGTTCTAGTTCAGTTCTAGTTAGTTCAGTTCTAGTTCAGTTTAGTTCAGTTCTAGTTCAGTTCTAGTTCAGTTCTAGTTCAGTTCTAGTTCAGTTCTAGTTCAGTTCTAGTTCAGTTCTAGTTCAGGTGTAGTTCAGTTCTAGTTCTGTTCTAGTTCAGTTCTAGTTCAGTTCTAGTTCAGTTCTAGTTCAGTTCTAGTTCAGTTCTAGTTCAGTTCTAGTTCAGTTCTAGTTCAGTTCTAGTTCAGTTCTAGTTCAGTTCTAGTTCAGTTCTAGTTCAGTTCTAGTTCAGTTCTAGTTCAGTTCTAGTTCAGTTCTAGTTCAGTTCTAGTTCAGTTCTAGTTCAGTTCTAGTTCAGTTCTAGTTCAGTTCTAGTTCAGTTCTAGTTCAGTTCTAGTTCAGTTCTAGTTCAGTTCTAGTTCAGTTCTAGTTCAGTTCTAGTTCAGTTCTAGTTCAGTTTTAGTTCAGTTCTAGTTCAGTTCTAGTTCAGTTATAGTTAAGTTCTCGTGAACTTTACACGAAACAAATTTTGTTGTTGTGATGTTGTTGATTAACAACATTCTTATATTGACTTTAAATAATGCTTGAAATGTTTTAAGTAAAATACTTCTTAAAAATACCTGCATAATGTTTTTGAAATATCGGGGTATGGATTCTAATTTTTAAATAAGATCATAAATTGTTCAAATCTTGTAATCATATTATCGGGCTCGACATGCGTGAAACTATTAACACCAATATTCACTCTTGGATTTGAAAACTTTTTTAAATTTTATTAAATTACAACATAAATATGTTGTAATCTCTTAATGTGTAAACACCAGTCAATCATTTAATGTAATTTATACATACATATGTTAATAATTATTTATAACGTGATTATCAAACATTTAATCATTTAATTGTCACATTGTTGGCAACTGATGCGTAATTTCTTTTATGTGAAACCTGAATGATTAAAAATAAATGAACAAGTAAGCGCGAAAAGTGAAATTTATTTAATATGATTATATTTATTTGATAAAATATCAACAACAACTCGCATAGAACGAACATGATATTTTAGCGTTATATAATTTATGATGATGATAAAAAATGCATAGCGTTTACAACAAAATATATGAATTGTTGCATATGATACATTTGGCACAGTTTTTAAAACTTTTTTACTCACTTTTAAAATTTTACTTAAGTAGTATTTTTTTTTAATTAATTATTTTAAATAAATTTTTTAATTTATTTTTTATTATTTCAACTTTTTAAAAGAATTTCTTCCTTTTTTGTATTCTTAACACTTCGGCGTATAAATTTCGAATAACTTTAAATTGCAAATGTGGTAATTCTTTATATAGCAAAAATTGAGTTGCAGCTTCTTAAAAATATTTGCAAGTGAGTTTTAGAGTTTACGATGTTGATAGTACGTGTATGAGTATAATCTTATTTCTATTACTTCAATTTTATAACTTCCAACCAACCAACCAACCGACCAACCAGTGCAAAATTAAAGAGTTTCTACATGAGCATGCGCACAATTTTAGTCAAGCTCCCTCTATGACAAAAACACAAGAATAGTCGATTTTTATAGTATTAGTAGAGGAGCACGCATACAAGTAATTTAGCAAAGTTTGCGCATGCGCACCAACTATCAACTAAAACTATCCCAGCAGTTTTACAAGGAATTAAGGGATACAAACAATATTTTTCTTACCAAACTAATAATATTATTAAATTTGTGTAATCAAGAGTGTAGTGCTTTGTGTTCACTTATTATCTGATCTGCTTTTTAGGTTCGGTTTGATTAAAAGGATAATTAAAGCTGCTTTAGTGTGTGTATTATAGTATAATGTTCCTAAACTCAGTTTCCTGCGCATAGTCTCTTCAATCAGTGCTTCTCAAGGATCTTGAAAAACATCGCTTCCAAGATACGGACTTGCTCATTCTCAGAACATCTGAGTTGCATGTTTAAATAACTATGGACAAGCATAAATGGTAAGTAAAATGACTAGTTCATTATCAGAACTGCAGGGTATGTATATATGTTGTTGGTGGTAGTAAATGATGTTAAAAATCTTATTCTTCCATACAACTTTACCAATCCAAGCTAAAGTACTTGAAAACGGAAACAGTAGCAAAAGGCATATCACGAATCAAAATAACTTAAATATGTAGCATCGAAAATCCCTTTGGGGCAATTATGAGAAGTATTTACTTACGTAGAGTAAATAGTAGAAATCAGATAAAAGACTTTTGTTCTTAATTTTATTCAATTTATGTATTTAGAGTTTAATTTGAATTGAACTTATGGTATTGATACCACGAAATTAAATAGAATTTATATGATATCAGTGAAAGTTTTGTTGTTAGTAGTCGAATATAAATTAGATGATGAATATGAATATTGAGTAACTGATTAGTACAGTTTTCTAGATTGTATGTCAATGAACAATCAGTGTCCGACCTAATGCTCCTCGCTTTAAAGTAGCAGAAACCAATTTGATCTAAGATTACTTTTAGTTTACTTTGGTTAAAATTAACTTTATAATTTACACATTTCGAAACTTTTTTTCTTTGTTTAAAATGTTGCCCCTTTGCTTTATTGTTGCAACAATATAATTTTGAGTGCAATAGAGGACGTAGTACATACATATACATTTTATTAATACATCCTTTCGTGTTTGAAAATCAATTTAGGAAATGTGCGTAATAAAACGCCTTGAAAAAAACTCTATGTAGACTATGATTACGGGGCAGACACATCATTATATTCCAGGAATGAAGTATTAAAACAAACAAAAACTACCGTGAGTATAATTAATGCAAATAATATGTTTTACAACCGCAATAACGGTAAGATCATAAAAATGAAACTGATGCGGGAAGCTTGTTACTGATCTCTTGAATTAGTAAGCTAATGATACAAAAATACTATACAAGAGAAGAAAGAAAATTGTTATTTAATTTAGTTAAACTTAAGTTAAAGTTTGTTTGGTATTGAAAATGGGTAATATTTGTATACCATTCAAGTGTTTTGGGACCTATGTAAAATATTTTTTGATTTATTAAAAAAAGAACTTTTAATAAATTCTCAATTTATAGAATATTTGAGCAAAATTTTCTTAGTTTAACATTCCTTTTTAGAAAAATCCCATCAAACTCTTTACATACACGGTAAGTAGTCAAGTAATATTGGATCAAAGTG